GCCCGAGGCCCCATCCTCACCTGCCACTCAGTGTCGAAGGTGCTCCTGTACTGGACCTCATAGATGAGCCCGCGGTAGGGCAGGTGCGAGCAGGCCACAGCCACCGCCTCCTCCCGCCAGCGGATGCTCACATTCCCGGGGGGAGCGGGTTTCACTGCAACGTGGGGAACACACAGGTTGAGCGTCGCTCGTGTCCGTCACGATGGCCGACAGCAGCAGGTCCGCCCCCTCCCCAGCTGCTTGCTCTTGGCCTCTGCACCATGTTGTACTGGGTCCTGTTCCTCACCCTGCCCTGGGGCCACCTGTGTGAGCCGGGGGAGGCTGGCAGGAGCCCACCTGCCTAAGCAGAGCACCCCTGGGCGCACCTGGGCCACCTGTTGTCCGGGGCTGGGAAGCCGAATAGAGAGGATGTTCGGACTGCCGCCGGGCCACGGCCCGGGAGTCGCGCCTGCGGAGAGGGGCCCTGCCGCGGTGGGGACAGCTGCCCGGACTCACAGTGCTCACTGAGCCACTGGCTCGTGGTGACGAGGCGCTGGGTGCCGGAGCTGAGTGTCAGGTACAGGATGCGGTCCCCGCCCTCTGGGAGCAGGCAGCCGCAGGTGCGGCCCTCGTGGAGCCTGTAGCTGGGGCAGGGGACCTCGTCCTGGTCTTCGCTGAACCTGAGATGCACAGAGCGGTCACTGGGGCGTGGAGCACCTCGCATGTGTCCCACGCGAGTTTTACGTGTATTGTGCAGGCTTCCACGCACGCTCTGCCCGCGTCTGCGTTTTCGGATGTGCGGGAAAGGGACGCCTCCCACGAGCAGTGGCAGCCTACACACTTCGGTTGATTTTTGCGCAACAGCCTTTCACCTCTGCGTCCGCTGCCCTCCCTAGGTGCGCTGTCCACTCTGTCTCCAACTCCCTCCTGCACCTACGTCTATTGCCAGCCTGAGTCCTCCCCAGGCCCAGCCCTGTGCCCACCCCTGTGTCCCTGCTGAGTCCTCCCCAGGCCCAGCCCTGTGTCCTTGCTGAGTCCTCCCCAGGCCCACCAGGCTGTCCATCTTACCCCCCAGTGGTACCGAAGCTGTGAGGCCCCTGTGCGTCCACCAGGATCAGCCTTGTGCTCCCCTCCCCCCCACGCTTGCCCTGGCTGCCTCTCACCTGTAAAGCAGGGTGAGGTTGCTTCCAGAAGCTTCCCCAGAGGGGTCCCACATCACCTGCACGCGCTCAAAGTTCAAGCAGATTATGCGTAGACGTAGTCGCCCTATTGAAGGGAGAAACATTGGATGGATGACTGACAGATGTGGCAGGGCCACCCCCTCCCCACAGGGCGGGGAGACAATGCAGTCCCTGGGAACATAACCCCATGACGTAGAAATGGGATGACGGGGCCCAGAGCGATAGCCTAGTGGCTAAATCCTCGCCTTGCACACCCTGCAGTCCCATGGGTGCCAATTAGCGTCTACTTCTCGTCCAGCTCCCTGTGTGTCGCCTGGGAAAGCGGCTGATGGTGGCCCAAAGCCTGGAGATGCTGAACCCGCACGGAAAACCCAGAAGAGGCTCCTGGCTCCTGGCTTCAGATCGGCTCAGCTCAGCCATTGCAGCCACTTGGGGAGTGAACCAGGGGAAAGAAGATCCTTCTCTCTGTCTCTCTGTGCGAGAATCTTTTTTTAAAATGAAGAAAGGTAGAAAGCCTGAGTGACAGCATGAGGCATTATTGGAAAGGCAGATATCGGAGGAGGCACAGACAGAACAACCTTGGGTCTGTTGGTTCACTGGGGGGGAGCGAGCCGGGGGGTCAGGGCCAGGAGCTCCGTCCGGCCTCGCGGGCGGCAGAGCGGGCGCCCGGGGCCTGAACCCTCACCCGGGTCTCCCCGAGGTGGAGCCTCCTCGCAGCCTGACAGGCACCTTCACCGGGTCTCCGTCACAGCAGGAGCGCTGTGGCTTCCCGGCCCCATGCTCAAGTTCAGAGATAGCACAGAGTAAAAGGTGGTTTCCACGGCTCTGGTTCCTGTGAGGGTGGAGGGGAAGGGTCGGTCAGGAGGGAGAGGGGTGGGGACTTTTTCAGGGGAGCCTGACTGAGCGAGGAGAGAGAGAGAAGGGGAGAGAGAGAAGGGGAGAGATGAAGGGGAGAGAGAGAGGAGAGAGAGAGAGGAGAGAGAGAGGAGAGAGAGAGATCTGAGCAGATGCGGAGGCTGTGAGAGTGAGCAGTCTGGGAAAGAGGCCGGACATGCTTGGTGCAGATGTGAGCTATTTAGACGGACCCCTCCCCTCCCTCCCCTCCTCTCCTCCCCTCCCTCCCCTCCTCTCCTCCCCTCCCCGTCGGGGCTGGCCCAGCCCTCGATGCCGGAGCAGGCAGAGTGGTGATGCAGTTGGCACAGGCAGTCCTCCTCCAGTCCACACAGAGCAGGACTCAGTCATTTACCACCAGTGCCATCCACCTGCAGACTGCAGGACAATGATTCTCCACCAAGCCCAGCTTCTCCTCACACCCCAGCTTCTCCCCACAGCCCAGCTTCTCACAGGCCAGTGTCTCCCCACAGCCCAGCTTCTCCACCAAGCCCAGCTTCTCCTCACAGCCCAACGTCTCCCACAGCCCAGCTTCTCCCCACAGCCCAGCTTCTCACAAGCCAGTGTTTCCATTTACCAGAATGGTCTAATCTTTTAGAACAGCAGTCTGAGCTCCAGCACCCAGACCCAGTGGCAGGTGGCCTGGAAGTCAGGGGCCTCGCAGGAAAAGCGCCCACCGGGAGAGGCCACAGGAGCAGGGGGCTCGGGTCCTGAGGCCCGGCTCGCTCCTCCTAGCTCCCCAGACACGTCCCCACCCTCTCGTCCCAGCGTGCTCACCTGCGACCTCAACCGCCGCCGAGGACGTCAGCTGTGCCAGCAGGAAGGCAGCAGCCACGGTGGCCGCCATGGCCGGCCGGGCTCCGGGCGCCCTCACGGCCTACGGGACAGGCGAGGAGTGACAGCGTGCGGCGGACGGCCGCCTGGCCGACCCAGGCGACCGAGGGCTGTTGATACATGAGGAAGCAGGGGTTCGGTCACCCCTGCCCTTGAGCCGGCAGAGGAAGCAGGGGCCAGGATAACATCTCAGAAGGAAGCTGACGGCCTCACGTCACGCCGCCCCCTCCCCCACCCCAGCGCTGGCGCAGACACAACCACACAGCTGGAGGCTGTGGCGGGTGCAGACCCCGGGGCCTGTGCACCTGCCGCTTCCATGTGGGACACTTGGATGGAGTCCTGAGCTGCAGCCTGGCAGCGGCCAGCGGACTGTGCCCTCCTCCCTCTCTCCCCGTCTCTCTCCTCTCTTTCCTCTCTCTCTACCGGTCTCTCTCTCTCCCTATCCTCTCTCTCCTCTGTGTGTGTGTGTGTGTGTGCCTGTTCCCTCTCTGTCTGAGTCCGCAGGCTCCTCCTTCCTCCCACGGCTGACCTCTGGCCTTCAGACCCCCGTGCCACTGGCTCTCTGATGAGCTGGGGTGGGGGGCGTGAGCACTGTGCAAGGTGCAGGGCGGGCAGGGCTTGTTGGTGAGCACGCGTGACCACAGGGAGGCAGATGACCACAGGGAGGGTTCATATGCACCAGGAAGACGGACGGGCGATGGATGGACGATGGACGGGCGATGGACGGGGGATGGACGGGCGATGGACGGGGGATGGACGGGCAATGGCCAGGCACGCAGGCAGAGAGCCGACGGACGGGCAGGTGCAGGTAACCCATGGCTGGGTGGACAGAACTCCCACAGCCGACGGGGGTGCTCTGTGTGTCCTAGCCCAGTTATCTCTGCGTCCTTCGGTGGCCTGTCCACCTACGTGTCTAGTGATCCACTTGCCCATCTGATGCCATCTGTCGGTCACCCTGTTGCCCACCTGGCATCCCTCATTGTGTCTAAGGAGGTGTCAGCCACGTGTCCTCAGCCATCATGGACCCTGTGTCTACCCACCCGCCTCCACCCGTGTACCGCAACCCTTCCCTCCTTCACCACCTGTCCATGCTGTCCTACCTACTGACCACTGACCGGTCTGTCCAGCTGACCAGCCTCCACCTCCACCCAAGCATGGGCGATGAGTCACCCCATGTCTGGTCTGAGAGACACCCCAAAGGAGACAAGGACTGGGAGCAGAGACCCCCAACACCCAGGAGCAGCGGACTGGCCAGGAGTCATGGCTGTTTTCCAGACAGGCACACCCTGTGTCCCAGGGCCGCTCTGCCACCTGCCTGCCACCTGCGCAGGAACCCTGAGGCCAGGCCAGGCGGGACTGGACCAGCTGACCCACCTTCCCAGGGGGCGCCCGCTGTCACACTGCCCAGCACCACCAGATGGCAGCAGGGGGCCACCAGCAGGTGGAAGCAGTGACTGGTCCTGGGCAAAAAACAAACAACTGAGTAAGGATGGTGTGAGCGCACGGGCACACGTGCGGGGACCCCCAGCCCAGCTCACACCAGAGCCCCTTTCTCGCCGCCCTGCTTCCCACCCTCCTGAAGATTCCATCTCCCGTTACCTGTGGCTGAGGCCCACAGGTGGGAGGCCCATGTGCGATGAGGTGCCACCCAGCCGGGCTCTGACGAGCTGCAGTGAGAAGCAGGTAAGACACCTGAGCGGCCCAGAGAGAGCCAGTCCTCTTAAAAGGTGCCTGCTTTTAAACCTAACAGCACTATAGGAAGGAAGAGGGAGAGAGAGGAAGGAGGATGGGGGCGGAGAGACTGTGTGCTCCAGGAAGCAGGTACGTGAGGACCCAGCACCTGCCTGCTGCCTGGGGCATCCGTGAGCAGGGTGCTGGGTCAGGAGCCTGGAGCTCCAACTGGGGCTCCCAGGTGCTGAGCCCTGAGGGCCTGGACTCCCTGCCAGGGCAGACACGGGCAGAAGCGAGTCCCAACGGAGAGGGAGGAGTGAGCCCAGCTTGAGCCCGCCACTCAGATCCCTCAACAATCAGGAAGGCGGGACACATGGGAGGTGGAGCCAGGAGTAGAAACTAGACAGCGTAAGTGTGTGAGAGAGAGGGAGAGAGGCGGGAGAGAGGGTCCCTTCCTTGGTTACCTGGCCCGGCTCCTGCAGGTCAGGCAGCCTCGGCGTGAGCAGGTGGACAGGTGAGCAATGAGAGCGGGGCTCTCCCAGGAGGGTGGTGGGATGGGCCGTTTCTGGTACACAGAGCAGAGGGGTAAATCACTAAAAGGCTCTGGATTTTGGGGTGACTTTGTTGGAGGCGGGGAGGAGAAAGCGGAGAAGAGGAAGTCAGAATAGGGAACCAGCCTAGGGACCCCTTCCTTGTAACGCCGGGTCCCCAGGGCTGGGGGCTGCGGTTGGGGAACTGAATCTAAGGATTTTCTCTGGCTTCTGGTGGGCGTGGGTGAGTCAGCTATGGCCCGCTCTCATTCCACTGATGCCGTTCCCAGAAGAAGCTCCAGCGGGCTCGCTGACGTGGGTACGGCCAGGGCACAAGCCTTGGGCCTTCCCCAGGGTGTGCGTGGGAGCAGGGAGTTGGGGCAGGGGCCAGCAGCTCCTGACTTATTGCAAAACTAAGAAACAAAACTTGCATTTTGAGGGAGAGAAAAGAGAAGTTACCATTTCGTACATGCCCTCTCCCGCGAAGTCCCGGGGTTAGGAAGGGCCCCGGGCCCCCTCGCCATGGCTGCCCTGCTGCTGCCCCTGCTTCTGGCCTTGGGGCTGGCCGAGCCAGCGGCTCTCCTCGCTCTCAACATGACCTTCAACCCAAGAACGGGGACCCTCCGCTGGTCCTGCCCGGAGAACGCGACAGAGACCTGGTGCCAGCTGGAGCAGCTGCACAACAATGAACAAATCAAGATGGTAAGGAGGGGGTCCCAGGGGTGCACGGCCCGGGTGGGTGGGTAGATGGACAGGTAGATGGATGGATGGATTAATCAATGAGAAGATGCTTAATGGAAAAATGATTTTATTATTCTACACTGAGGCCATGGCCCACACGTCCAGGATGACACGCTTGGAGAACACACAGACTTTATACCCCAGAATAACCCAGATGTCAACAACAAGCTTTCACTAGGCCTTGTCTTATGTGACGCTAGCAATTCTTAGCAGACCTTTCTTATGTTAACCAGAACTAAAAAAGTAGGGGAGGAGACAGCGTGGTATGCCTTGGTCCATTATTTACAACTCAAGGAGACCTGGGCGGAGCTCCTGGCCCTGACCCCTCCCGGGGCTGGCCCAGGCCCCTGCCAGGGGCTCAGGTGCGTCCGCTGGCTTGGGCAGCACTTCAGCCCAGGGACCAGAATCCCTCAGCCGCCGCCCCTCCTCCCGCCACCAGCACGCCAGCCCAGACTGCAGCTGCAGCTTCGAAGTTACCCTGCACGGGGGCGTGGCTCTGACGCTGCTGGTGACTGTCAATCAAACAGTCCTCAAGGACGAACTCCTGTACAGCAACCCAGGTAGAGGGGAGAGACCCCGGCCGCCCCCAGCGCCCTCAGCGCCACCCAGAGGAGCTGCCAGGCCCACGTGCTCCCTCCCCGCCCCCAGGCCTTCCAGCCACAGCAGCCAGGAACTTCTCCTGCTCGGTGGTCTACGATGCGGATGTCATGAACTGCACCTGGAGCAGAGGCGCGGCCGCCCCCTGGGACGTCCAGTACCACCTGTACCTGCGACCCTCCAGGTGCGCACCCAGGGCTGCCCCAACCCTGAGGCCTCAGCCAGCGCGGCAGCCGGGGGCAGGTGGAGCCGGCTCTGCAGCCGGCGCCGTGGCAGCGGGAACCCGGAGCTGTCCCTGTTCAAGTGCTTTGTGCTTTGCAGGCAAGGGGTGAGCACGGAACGGGAATGCCCGAGCTACATGGCCAGGGCGGGCACACATCTGGGCTGCCTCCTGCGTGGCCTGTCCGGCTTCCCCTTCCGCACCTACTTCCTCGTGAACGGCAGCAGCCGGCTCGGGGCCGTCCAGTTCTTCGACGCCATTCTCTCCATGAAGGACATGGGTAGGGCGCCCGCTGCTGGCCCGCAGGGAGCGGGAGCAGAGAGGGGGAACAGGAAAAAGAGACGGAAGGGGAGGGATGGGGACAGACCAAGTCCACCTGCTGCCTAGCTTCCCAACTGCATGCGGCACCACGCCTCCTGCGGGCAGAGGCCTCTCTTTGGAGGCCAGGCTGGGGGTGGAGTGGACCCCACTGCCCTCCTGCCAGTTGGCGTGTTCCCCAACAGAACGGTTCAGCCCGCCAGCCAATACCTCGGTCCAGTGCAACGCCTCCCACTGCCTCATCCGCTGGACGCAGCCCAGGACGCTGCAGCGACTGTCCTACCTGGACTTCCAGTACCAGCTGGACATCCACAGAGAAGTCAGGCGGGTGGCAGCGGATGGAAGGGGGCCCAGGGGGCAGCCGAGGGCAGCCGAGGGCAGGAGGCTCCACACTACTCAGGCCACCCATGACAAAGCCCTTGTTTTTCTAGAGCCTGGAACCTACCAGCTCCGAATTTTGGGTGAGTGGCATACGGAGGTGCTTCCCGACCAACCCTGGCTGCTCTGTCCTGGTGTGCACCTGGCACTCCCAGCTCATCCCTTCTTCCTCCTGCCATGAGATGCTCACACAGAGGGTGACAGCCGGTCCTGGACACAGGCGATGGCTGAGGGGGCGTTGCTGAGGGAGGAGGTGCGGGGGAGGACTCGGGGCCTTGCACCTGCCGTGCCCTCCCGAGGGCCCAGACTGAGCGCCAGCTCCTGCTTGTTGCGAGCACTCGGGACATACGGCAGCAGGAATGGCCTCCAGCACGCCCACCCCCATCTCTCTCTCTCTCTCTCTCGTATATTCCCAGCTGCTCCATTCTCCCATTCTTTTTTCTCCTCCAAGATTGAGGTCCCTGGTGCTGTGGAGAATATGTACACGTTTCCCTGCCCGGAGCCCCGGGTCAGGCACGCCGTGAGGGTTCGGGCAGCGGACTCCAGGCTGTTGCAGTGGAGTGCCTGGAGCCAGCCCGTCCACTTCGGTAAGGGCACTGGCGGGGTGGTGAGGGGGAGGGACGTGCAGACCTCCCCGCCCCCTTCTCACGTCTCGCCGGTGTGCTGAGATGAACTTCCTGCCGCTCCTGTTGAGCTGTTTCTTAGCAAGGACTGTTTGGGTGTCCGTGGAGTGGCGATGGCTGAAGGCATGACTCGTCCTTCTATGAAAGGCATTTTAGAAGAGCAGGACAGGGCAGCCAAGAGCTGCCATCTGGACAGGGCTCGCTCGCTCGCTCTCCTTCTCTCACACACACACACACACACACACACACACACACGGATCAGCACCTGCTCGCACAGCTGGGAAGGCAGCAGCAGGCGCCAGCCTGGGGTCCCTCACGCCTGCTGCTCCCCACGTGGGAGGCCTGGGCGGAACCCCCACTCATTCCTGGCTGCTCCAGCATTTGGTAATGAAACAGTGGATGGCAGCACGCTCTCTCTCTTTCATCAAGTAACTCGGCACCGTCCTGTCTTCCCCGCAGGCTTCGATCCCGAGACTGGCGGCCTCATGCGCGTGTCCCTCCTGGTGGTCTTGGGGACCCTCGTGTGTGCCCTGCTCCTGGGTTTTGTGGTTAACAGGTAAATCGCCCAATGGGGACGGCGTCAGAGGACAGACGGGCCAGTGTGGGGACAGGACGTCCACTCGAAAGCTTACAGTTGTGAATGCATTAGACACAGAGCTGTCGCCCATCCCCTCACGGGCAGAGCCAGGGCTGGGCCCGGTCAAAGCGCGAGGCAGGAGTCCAGCTGGGCACTCTCCAGGTGGCAGGGGCACAGATGCGTGAACTCCTCGCCCCTGGCTGCTGCTTCTGCTCACACCCACGCCTGTGAGAGCAGGGAAGGGCTCAGGTGCCTGTGAGCCTGGCTGAGCTCCTGGGCAGGTGTCATGCAGACCCAAAGGATTCTCCTCTGCAGAAAAGATGCAAGTAAGCATATGGCTAAAAGCTGTTAGAACTCAGTAAAGATAGCAACAACCATGGGCAGGATCTGGATTTATAATACAGAGCCCAGGGCCCACCACGATAGCCGGGTAGCTAAAAACTCACCTTGCATCCAACAGTATCCCAAATGGGCACCGGTTCGAGTCCCGGCTGCTCCACTTTCCATCCAGCTCCCTGCCTGTGGCCTGGGAGAGCGGTCAAGCATGACCCAAAGCCTTGGGACCCTGCACCAGTGTGGGAGACCCCAAAGGAGGTCCATGCTCCTGGCTTTGGATCAGTCCAGCTCCAGCAAATGCGGCCACTTGGGGAGTGAATCAGCAGATGGAAGATTTTTGTCTCTTCTCATCTCTGTATATCTGCCTTTCCAATAAATAATAATAATAATAATAATAATAGTACAGAGCCACATAGAAGGAGCTAAAACCTGGGGTCAGAAACATGAGCTTGCAGCCCAGGGCTGTGGTGGTAGTCTGGGCCACCTGTAATGGCCACCACACATCCCTGAGCCTGAGGCCAGTGGAAGTTTATAGATGGTTCCAGGGTGTTCTAGAAACGTCTAGAAAGTTCCAGGACTCTCCAGAGGGTTCCAGAGAGTTCCTGCCCTGACTCCTGTTCTCTGTCTGCTCTTCCCCCACCATTGCCACAGGTATTTTAGGACGTGTGGCCTCTTCTCTCGGATCCCCCAGGTCAGAGATAAATGGAATGACCAGCCAGATGCGGATCACCAGGTGCGTGTGTGGAGAAATAGACATGGAGAGCCACGTGGGGGGGGCGGGGAGGGATGGCAGCGACCAGACTAGAGCCTGGAGCCAGGAGCCTGGAGCCAGCAGCCAGGAGCCTGGGGCCAGCAACCAAGAGTCAGCAGCCTGGAGCCGGAAGCCTGGAGCTCCATCCAGGCTGCACCTGAGCTGCTGCCTTCCCAGGCGTGGAGACCCACAGTGAGAACCAGAGCAGGGGGGTCTCCTACCTGTCTCTCCATCTCTGCTGCAGGTGGCCTGGGACAAGTTGCCAACTGGTCCAGGAGATGGCGAGAATGAGCAGGTGTTAACAGTGGAGGAAGTAAGCCAGGACTCCGACCGGCGTCTGTGATTCCGCTGGTACCTGCCTTCTGGAAAGTCCTGTGGACCCTGGGGTCATCTGTACCATTTCTTTTGGGGTTTTTATTATTATTATTTCACATAAAAGTGGACTTCTTATTGAGGCCTTTGCCAAGCCACCTGTGCCATGGGGGTAAGCGTGAGGACGTCTCTGGCGACCATGAAATGGCTCTAGGTAACAGGTGCTTCGGGTACCAGGCGTGCCGACAGCATTTGGCTGCAGGGGCGGCACGCCCGCACGGCTGGCTGCTGGAGACCAGCTGCAGCTGAGTTCACGGCCCGAGGAGGATGTGTGGAGTCGGCAAGAGAGAAGTCGTGGGGCGTCGTGATGGACAAGGCAGAAAAGCCGTCTCCACGCAGAATCCACGCAGCCTGCACAGACAGCCGACTGCTCTATTTGTTCCTTCATGGGGAAGCGGGTGTTTTTAAAGATACTTTTGTATTTTGTTTTTTATTTTTTTATTTCGACAATCTTTACATAGTTTTATTAAAGATAATTTTGTATTTTGTTTTTTATTTTTTTATTTCGACAATCTTTACATAGTTTTATTAAAGATAATTTTGTATTTTGTTTTTTATTTTTTTATTTCGACAATCTTTACATAGTTTTATTAAAGATAATTTTGTAAAATACTGCAATCGTCTGACTCTCAGAGCAGGCCGTCGTGCCGACCCTGCGGCCAGGCCGACCTCGCCGGCGGCATGCAGGTCAGCAACATGCCCCTGCTGTGTTTCTCTACAGCATGTCAAAGCAAATAATACAAAGGAAAAAACATGCAGATCGAAAGCAAAACACTTCAAGCACGAGGCCCCACTCTACCCCATAATCCGACAAGAATGAAACCTGTGCTTCTGCGTTAGTATCAACATCCTTTAGTTCCTCCAGCCAAAAGGTCCTGGGAGAGACAAGACAGATCCATTTTCTATGATTAAAAGACATTGCAAAAACAGGCCAACCTTTAAGGTTACCGTAACAGTTTCAGCTGTACTCCCCTTTTCATCAAGTTGGGGATACTTACCAAACCGTTTCTCAGAAGGCATGCTACGCGTCTGGCCCAGGTAAGTATTCGGGAACAGTGGGGGCTCAGTTGTACCCCTGTTGCGTTGATTCTTATGAACTGCTAAAGGCCCACTCACCAGGACGCAGAGACACCCGCCAGGCCTCGCCATGAGGCTGGGAGCTCCATCGGCCTTGCCAACAGGGGGGCCATTCACCCCAACCGCACCGCTGCCAGCAGAGCCCCCCTCGTGCTGCCCGCCCCACCCCCACAGGCTGCCAAGGCCCCCTCGTCTGAGCAGCTGTCAGCCGGCAGGCTCCGTACGGGCGCACCTTGCTCGGAGCCTGCGTCTGCCAAATGCATCCCACGGGAAGCCAGCCAGGGTCCTGCCTCTGAGGACCCTGCTGACTGTGGCCTGGGTGTGGGAAAGGGCAGAGCAGAGGTCCAGCTGTGCGTCTCGCCATCCACCGCCATGGGCAGGGCTCAGGCCTCAGGCGTGGGCACCTGCAGGGCAGAGAGGCGGGAGGCCGAGGCTCACGCACGTGCCAGGAGCTGGCCTCAGGAGTTGCCTTCCTCCCAGAGTCCTGGCCCCTGGTCAGACTGTGCGGCCAGCGGCTGCGGGAGTGGACGGGAGGAGAGGGGCTGCCGACCACAGGTGCCTGCTCCAGCCCGTGTGGGAGACCCCGGGGTTCCCGGGGCGCCTCACTGTCAGCTCCTGAACCTCCTCTGCCTGCCAGGACAGCAGACCTGTGAGCCTGCCCAGATCCCACCCGAAGCCCCCACGCGTCGGGCAGGTGCTGTGGCAGTCCCACCTCCTGGTTATACCGGAAGCCGAATGGGACTCACACAAACCGGGGCAGGCTGAGTCTGGGCAGCCGCCAGGACCGCGTGCTGGCTGCCCGTGCGGACAGTGGGATGGATGTGGGTGAGACCAAGGACGGTTCCGGGGAGGTGTGGACAGACAGCAGAGCCTGACCCTCAGCGCAGGCCTAGGCAGGGGCAAGCCGGGGCCTGCCCAGCTCGCCCCGGGCACAGCCCACCAAGCCGAGGGTGACTGAGCCGAGGGCGACTGCCAGTCTGTGCGCGGAGACCGCACGCCTTGCACAAGCGCGGCATGGCCGTGCACAAGCAGCCGCCTGGCTGGAGGGACTGCTCCTGGCCAGGGTGCCCCTCCCTCTCTGCTGGCCCCGCCCTGTCATTCTGGGTGACTGGCAGGGTGGCCACCCACATGGCCCAGGTGGGCGTGCTTGACACGGTCCCCTCCGCTCACCTGCCTGCACTGGGAGGTGAGCATTGCGCGTGCAAGCGCCTGCACGGCTACAGCACACTGCAGCAAGCTGCCCGCCTCTCATGGGCAGCGAGGTCCCCATACCCAGCCGGGTCCTCCGTACCCACAGGAAGAGCCTTGCTCACTGCCATGACAGGTGATATGGCCGAGGGGGCGGCCGGGCTGTGTGGGCCGGTAAGCAGTGAGGATGGCCAGGCTGTGCGGGTGGGCAGGCCCCAGGAGTGGCCAGGCTGTTCAGACAGGCTCCTCCCGCGGTGGCCAGGCGGCAGGCTGTGCCCCTCCCGCGGTGGCCAGGCTGTGCTGGCAGCCAGGATGGCCAGGGTCTTCACAGGAAGAGTGACTCCCCAGCTCACAATGAGGGTTGGTAGAACTGCCAAGCTGGGGATCACTGCCCCACCCCAGGCTGTGTGTCCAGCTCCCCGCCCTCTGCCCACTGTGTTCCAGGTGGCACTGTTGCAACAATGCGCCAGGGTCATTCCCAGCAGGCTCCGACCTGCACCCGTGGCTCACCTGTGTCTGCCCACACCTGGAACCTGGAGGGCAGGTGGATCCCTGGTGCATCCACCTTGCAGGTGGACCCAGGACACTGTGGGACTGGACTCCCAGGGCTGTGCTGGGCACCCCTGTACCCCACAGAAGACAAACAGAACTGCCAGGCAAGGAGTGCCCAGCACGTACCTGGACACCCACACCTGTGGCACACACCTGTGACACACCCACACCTGTGAGGTCGCCCAGCCAAGCTCCTGAGTAGCCCCATGTCAGCTGGCCCTGACCCAAGGCCCCTGCCTCCACCCAGGGTGCCCAGGCTCCATCTGGTCATCTCCCACCTGGTCCTGCTGGGGCTTGCCCCGCCCTGCCCACCCCTGCCTTTCTGTTAACCCTGCACCGAGCTCCCATGAGTCCATCCCGGCTAGCAGCTGCCCACTGGTCTCACTCTGATTTTAAGGGATTTAGCCTAATGGCCTAGTGGGTGGACAGAACGGGATGGACAGATCAGATCCTCTGGCTCCAAACGACCTCTGTGGCTGGGGCTGGACCAGGCGCCCAGGTCTCCCAGGTGGGCAGCAGAGGCCCAACTTGGGGACCCCTTTTCTCTGAACCCCAGAACCAGATGGGACTTAAAGCAGAGGGTAAACCCCTGAGGCCTCCCCCCGTCTTCCCCGAGTGCCACCGTCCCTCCATGCCCATGCCAGCCACTGCCATGCCCCCTACCCCTCTGGCTCTCCTCACTGCCCACATCACTGACCCCTCTGGTCTCCCAGACCCCCTCCCTCAGCTACCGAGGTCACCTCCACCCCACTCCCCGCCGCCTCGGCCGTGCAGTGCCAGGCCTCAGGAGTTCTTGGAGTCCCAGGGCACAAAGGGAAGGGGGAGCGTAGGCCTCGGGCCTGTGGTTGGTCCCAGGTAATCGTGATTGGTGCTGGGTGACCCCATGATATGACTGACACTGGATGACCCCGTGACTGGCTCTGGCCTCTCCTGATGTAGAAGGTTCTAGAACATGCTTGCCCATTTTGCTCCGACCGAGGCATGGCAGTTCTGTGAGGGCCAAGTGAGGGCAGGGGCAGCAGACATGCAGCAGAGTCTGTGGTGCACCAACCCGCGTCTATTTCACGCTGACCCCGAGGGCACCTCGGTCCCCTCCCCACACAGAGCCACCGCCCACAGGCAGGGCCACCAGGGAGCGGGGGACAGCACTCGTGGGTCTGAGCCAGAGGGAGCTCCTTCACAGCACGGCATGGGCACAGGAGGCTGTGGGCAGGGCATGGGCATGAGAAGGGAGGCAGGTTCAGTGCCTGGGGTCCCTGGCCCTGCCAAGCCCCGCCCTGGGTGCCCCTCCTGGCCCTGGGTGCCCCTCTCCCGGGACGGACGACTTCAGGGCCAGAGCGCCAGGCTGTGGCTCTCAGCCCTGCCGCCCTGCCAGCCCTTACCCCGGCCCTGCCAAGCCCCACCCTGGGTACCCCTCTCCAGGGGTGGGACGACTTCAGGGCCAGAGCGCCAGGCTAAGGCTCCCAGCCCTGCCGCCCTGTCGGCCCTCACCATCTTTCTGCAGTAAGGTGGAGGACTTGGAAAGCCCCAGGATGTCCGAGATGGTCAGGAACTGCTTCAGGGTCCAGAAGCTGGACAGCAGCCGCCGGCCTGCCAAGGGGACAGTCACTCCAGACACAAGGCCGGCCTGCTGCCACCAGCCAAGCTAGCCTGCCTGCCAGGCCCGGCCCGGAGCAGGGCACCTCCCAGGGACCCGGTGGTTCTCTGCCAGCCTGCACCCCTGAGCTCACCCACCTGCTCCAGTGACACCAGCCCCGCCCCACCCCTGCTGACCCCAACGACCCCAACCCAGGCACTCACTGAGCAGCAGTAGGCTCTTGTAGGTGCGGCTGCCGCGGCCCAGGCGCAGCTGGACAAGGCCCTGCTCGTAGTCGGTGAACAGCACATGCAAGCCCTTGACCCCCTTCACTGCAAGAGAGCCCAGGCCGGCCCTGCTCGCCCTCACGGGGACTCAGGCCAGCGGCAAGCCCCACCCCCTCGGCCACCGCACGCACAGCTGTTCCGGAACACAGCCTTCTTCCTGTCCTTCTTCAGGGTCACCTCCCAGGCCTGGCAGCCCAGCGACCTGGCAACGGGGCAGATGCCAGCTGGAGCCCAGGGCTGCAACGGCCGCCCCTGCTCCCAAGGGGTGAGGTCAGTCCTGCTGTTCTGGAATGTTCCACCTGGGACCACGGCCTCCGGCCAAGGGCAAGTGTCCCCACGCCCACTGCCCGCTGGGTACCTCTGGGGTTTCTCCTCCCCACCCCCACCCCACGGACCCTTTGGGCCAAAGGAACCAAGTGGCAGGCCAGTCCTGCTGGAACTAGCCGCAGAAGGGGCCCCAGCGGCCCCTGGCCCACCTGCTCAGGGCAAGCGTCATCTTTAGTTGATCCCGCTGGCACACCGCCAGCACCAGGGCCCCCAGCTTCGTGTGCTCCTTGACCGGCATGAGCCCCTGGGTGTCAGTGGCAATGGCCAGAATATACCAGAACCCTGAGAACTGAAGGGGAGGGGTCACCAGAGGGTGCAGTCAGGGGTGCCTCTCAGTGCTGTCCTGTGGGGCCCCTCTCCTCCCAGCTCCAGTATCAGCTCGCTCTCCCCGCCTCTCCCTGCCTCCCCCGCTCTCCCCGCCTCCCCCTGCCTCCCCCGCTCTCCCTGCCTCCCCCTGCCCTTCCTGCCTCCCCCTGCCCTCCCTGCCTCCCCCTGCCTCCCCCGCTCTCCCTGCCTCCCCCTGCCCTTCCTGCCTCCCCCTGCCCTCCCTGCCTCCCCCTGCCTCTCCCTCCCCTCTCTGCCTCCCCCGCTCTCCCTGCCTCCCCCTGCCCTTCCTGCCTCCCCCTGCCCTCCCTGCCTCCCCCTGCCTCCCCCTGCCTCCCCCTGCCTCCCCCGCTCTCCCTGCCTCCGCCCCCCACTTCCTTCTCCATCACCTCCTCCCTCCCTATCTTCCTCCTACTTGGCAGCTCTGAGCTGCTCTGGGGAGCCCTAGCCGCTGCCTCCTGCTTCAAGTGGCGCTGAGCCTCACCTTGTCCCAGTTGATGCTATGGGACTCTCGGGGAGTGTCCTCCTGCGGCTGGCAGCCCACAGCCAGGACGAGGAGCAGCGCTGGCAGCCCCAGCCACATCCTCCTCCTCCTCCTGAGGCAGTGCAGCAACTGAGGCTCTGCCAGACCCGCCAGCTGTGGGTGAATGGCCCCCAACCGCCAAAGGGGCAGGGCAGGGCAGTGGGCAGGGCTTGGGTTGCACCACGCCTCCGGCACTGGGCCCTGCCTTGGTGGCCTCCACAGGGCCCCTGAGGTGGGCGCCCTCACAGACACCTCATGCCCCCAGCGTCCCAGCCCGAGGTTGGCACTTGTCCCAGGACAGTCCTGGGCCCTCCTACCCAGCAGCGGCCACCTGACCCCCAGAAGACCCCAGGTGGGCACAGGTGAGAGCATGAGGCATGGCTGTGGGACACGGACCCTGGCAGCCTTCTCGAGGCCAGGCGTCCCACACCAGTGCACAGGCCCCACGCCCCCACACCTGCCAGAACCCACGACCATAGCCACCGATGCCAGCCTCTGGGCTCCTACTCCCCTCAGCCAAGCCCAGGGAATGCTGGGGCTGGACTGGGGCAGGCCACCTAGGGTGGGCTGAGGCAGGCCCAGCCTGTCCTCCCCCAGCAACCCAGCCAAGGGTCGGGTTGGCCACCTGTGCCAGCTCCTCCCCCACGCGGTGCCCGCACAAGCCCTGCTCCAGATACAGCCCAGATTGACCAGCCTGCAGCTGCCCGTGCCATGTCAGGGCCAGGGACCCAGCAGCCCCGGGCACTGAGGGCTCCAGTCCTCGAGCTGACCCGTTCCCCAGGCTGCCCAGCGTCTGCCCACCAGTCTCGAGGCATCAGCTGCGTCTGCTTGTGGAATTGCTTTATTCCGGTGTCAGGGAAAGCCCCAGAGCAGGGCAGGGCCTGGCAAGCTCTCCGGGACACCGTGGCGCTGACCCCTCACTGCAAACAGAGAACACGCTAGGGGCCCAGCTCGGCCCCACACCCACCCTCCCCTGCACCTGGACCACAGGCTTAGACCAGGTACACCCAGGGCCCACCCCGGGCAAGCCAGCTCAGCAGGGGCCTACCTGGAGAAGCTTCTGGGCACAGGTGACTGTGAAGGAGGAAGGGCAGCCGTGAGAACAGGCCCTTGCTGCTGCCCACCCCCCAGGACAGGCCCCACAGCTGTGCCACCCAGGATAGGCCCCACAGCTGCCCACCCCCCAGGACAGGCCCTCACAGCTGTTCCACCCAGGATAGGCCCCACAGCTGCCCACCCCCCAGGACAGGCCCTCACAGCTGTTCCACCCAGGATAGGCCCCACAGTGACCCCCCAGGACTGGCCCCACAGCTGCCCACCCACCCTGGTCTTGGCGGCCACCCACCATCCTTCTGCAGCTGAGCCTGCTGCTGGGCCAGGAAACCCAGGCCGTTGCTCCACTTGCTGAAGAGCCGCAGGGCCTCGTGGCTGGCCGTCTCCGTGCGACCTGCAGGGGCGCAGCCCTGGGCGCCTGGGCCTCCCCCACCCCTGGTTGGGGCAGGGTGGTCCCTGAGCCCCCTCCCCAGCCCGCCAGGACACTGTCCCACTCACTGTACAGCTCCACCGTGTTGAAGGCCTCGTCCCCGAACTCCAGCTGGGTGAAGACCACTGCGAAGTCTCGGAAATTGGTGCCTAGCACACGATACTCCAACACGCCATGGGCTGCCACGTACACGCCCCACGGGGCTGCTGGCACCAGCCTTCGGCACGGGATCCCCACCGTGGGCCTAGAGCCCCAAACCCCACCTATAACCTTGCCTCACGAACACACAGGTGCCTGTGCTGGGCCCGGCCCTGACCCCGAGAGGCGATGGCCCCTGGCACGGTGCCAGCACCTGCAGGGGCCTGGGCACCCAGCTCGCCCACCGTGGAGCCTTTCACCTCTGACCTCTCCCTGAAAGGGCCACGCACAGGCCTCTGGGCCAGAGCCAGCTGCCCCAGCCCTGTGACAGGTAACGGTCCCTGAAGCCAAGGTACTCACAGGGGTTCTCAAAGACCCAGCCCGATGTCTGCCTCACCAGCTCCATGTCCTGTCGGGAGCAGCCATCCAGCCTGGCCGGGAGGGGTGCGGCTGTGAGCACGAGGGCAGGGCGGCCCAGCCTGGCCAAGCTTCCTCCCAGGCCCAGCCAGAGCCACGGGCCACAGTCAGGCACGCGAGAGTCAGGGCCGGGCAGTGGCCGCAGAAGCCACCACAGGCCGGTGTCCCTCGGTGGTCAGTCCCAGGCGTGGGTAAGCCTGAGCAAGCACAGCATGTTCCAGAAAAGGGGTGACTTCCAGGCAGGAGGCCACCACAGCTCGGGGCTGCCAGAGCCCAGCCCTGAGAGGGCAGCGTGGGCTCTGTGGGGTTAACCTCCATCTGCGGCGCTGGCATCCCACGTGGGCACAGAGCCAAGTCACAGATGCCCAACTTCCCATCCAGCTCCTACTCATGGTCTAGGGAAGCAGTGGAGGACAGCCCAGGGTTTGGTTCCCTGCGCCCACATGGGAGACCAGAAGCAGCTCCTGGCTCCTGGCCCAGGCCTGGCCATGGCAGCCATCTGGGCAGTGAACTAGTGGATGCAGGGTCTTTGTGTCTCTCCTTTTGTCTCTTTAACTCTTTCAAATAAATACACACTGTGGACCACTCAGGACGTTGCTGAGTGTCGGAGTGGGGGCAGGGTCCCGTGGATAACATGGACCTGAGCTACAGGCTGGAGAGGGTCATGGAGCCGAGGATGGGGCCATGGGGGGCCAAGGACAGGGGAGGGAGCCACCGGGGGTCCAAGCAAAGGGGAGTGGGGGAAGCCACGGAGGGGTCAAGGATGGGTGAGCAGCGGCTGGGGCTGCTTTGAGGGGTGCCCTGGATGCAGCACCCCAGCTCTGGTCCTGCCACCTGCAGCAGGCCAGGCTGCCGGCCACCCGTCCAGCTCACCTGTGCCGGGATGCCTGCAGGCGCAGCCGGTTGCCCGGGGTGAGTGTCACCAGGACGCCCTCAATGCCTTTCACATCCTTCTCCAAGGCGAAGTCCTTCTCCCGCGAGGCCACGGCCAGGACGTACCAGGGCCCCAGGAGCTGCGTGGGCAGCAGTCAGCACCTGCAGCCTCCCAGCCCCCGCCCCCACCCCACAGGAGGCTTTACCTGTGTGGGGTCCAGCCTGCCCAGCCACAGCGCCGGCACCCTGGGCATGGGCGCTAAAGTGAGCAGGGCCATGAGCAGGGTGGCTCTCATCTTCCCAGGGTCTACCGGCATGCCCCTCAGCCCTGCGCACCAGCCACAGCCTGGGGCCCTTATCAACAGCGCAGCCTGGCCACAGCAAGGCAGCCCGTCGACCCCCGGGCCGGCCTGGGACGCCACCCAGCGGCTTCCAGGAGCCCCACCTCCCCTCCCGCCCGCTGCCCCCGGAGGATGTCCCAGGAGCACGGTGAGGCTGACCACCCACCAACCCCAGGCCCGCTGGGAGGCCGGGACCAGAGAGCGCGGGACATGCCAGCCAGACGGGGGGACCTTCCGGGAGCTGTGGTTTCACAGGCATGCGCTCCGGTCATCACGAAGAACACCAAGTCCCAGACGTCCACCCTAGAGGGCTCTGCCCCCACGCTGCCCCGCGCCCACGGCCTCTGCTCGCTGACCCCAACCACCCCATCCCCACGGCTGCCCCGCGCCCACGGCCTCTGCTCGCTGACCCCAACCACCCCATCCCCACGCTGCCCCGCACCCACAACCCACCATCCATGCCTGCGTCCCCGGGGCCCAAGTGCCCACAGCGGCCTGGGCTTCCCTCACCCCAGCGAGGTGGCCCGAGGCCCCTGGTCCCTGGAGCCTGCCCAGAAAAGGGGCATTGCCTGGGGAGCCCCAAGCAGAGCTGCCCACAGGCGTCACTGCCCTCCCCGGGCCGTGTCTATGGAGGGGGCACTCAGGTGGGCTGAGGATGTAGCTGGGGAGGGCAGCAGGCCCCACACGCGACACCACGGGACAGCAGGAAGGCCATCTGATGAGGTTCCCCAGGACACAGGGTGTGGCTAAGAGCAGGGTCCCTGAGGGGGGCGGCAGAAGGCAGAGGGCCAGGGGGATGGCAGTGGGCAGGGGCCAGGGGGATGGCAGTGGGCAGGGGCCTGAGGGGTGGCAGTGGGCAGGGGCCAGGGGGATGGCAGTGTGCAGGAGCCTGGGGGCGGCAGTGGGCTGGGGCCTGGGGGGCGGCAGTGGTCCAGGCCAGACAGGGGAGGTATGAGGATTGCAGCTTGGGTCCTAGCGGGCTTCTGGCTTCACCAAGGCCTGACTGGCAGCCTGTCCACTGGGTGACCTCGCCCTGTCTCTGCTCTCATGGTTCATGGGGACACGGCCAGGGAAGGAGGGTCACCCAAGGAGTGTCCACAAATGGTGGCCGCTGTGGCCTGCAGGTGATCTCGCGTTTGCGTCGTTAGACTCGGGGAGAGTCCAGCCCCGTGCAGGGGAGCCGCACCGTCATTGGCAAAACAAGTCAAACGCAGAGGCTGCAATAAGCATGAGGATTTTATTGAGCATTCGCGAATGGGCAACAGAGTCTCTGGAGGCACCCAGGACTCTGCGCGCCCCAAGCAGGTTAAAGCACCTTTGTAAAGGACAAAACCTCAAACTTTGCATAACGACTGGCATTTTTTAATTGTTGTCGGTCTGCATTCCTCGTCTTAGGACTAGGTGACCCGGTACTTTCTCACACTTCTTATCTCTCTGTAACTGTCTCACTTTCTTATTTTTTATATTCTTGCATCGGCCTTGCTTCCTTATCTTCTCCATTCCTGCAGCTGCCTTGTTCATGTCTGGGAAACTGAAACTTTACTTGTTTCATGAAATGACTTCTCTATACTTACTCTAACGCGGCTCTACTCTTGCTCAGCAGAAAGCGATACACAGAAGCAGAATCAAGCGGTTATTCTAAACTCTTACAGCGCCGCATCTGATTTGTACACACAGAATAAGACAGACTCAGGGCCAGGCTCTGGGCTCTGCGCCACAAACCAGCACGGTCCTCTGCGTGTTCCTTATTCCACTTCCGTGTTCCTCCTGTCCACGACCCTCAGCCTCGCACCTCACGTGCCGCCACACAGCCGGGAGGCAAAGCACGGGGCACCAGGGGCCGGTCAGTCTGCACGGTGGGCAAGCTGCTCCCCATGGCACGCCTGCCCTCGGGCAGTGTCCACCCTGGCCCAGCCGGGAAGTGGCCAGGACTGGGGGTTCCCCAGGAGGGGCGCCCAGCAGCCCAGCCACACTCCAACACTTGTGTGAGCTAGGGCCAGGCACTCTGGGGTCTCCCCTTGCCCCTAATGCTTGCGGGGCCTGGGCACGGACCCCCACACCTGTACCCCTCAAGTGCTACTTTCATTGACCCCCACACCTGTAGGCCACCACACCCCTCAAAAAGACACTCAGGGGGAGGGTTTGCCATTCAGGTTTATTCAGAGCAGATGAGGTCCAGTGAGGGCAGGAAGAGGCCGGGCCAGAGGCTGTGAGCACTGCGGGCTGGGGAGGAGGCGGGCGGGCAGGGCTGAGGCTGGAGGGCCTGTGGGAACTGAGCAGGGCTGGGGCGGGGAGTGACCTGGGGGGCCAGGCAGGGCTGGGGCGGGGAGGGCCTGTGGGGGCGGGCAGGGCTGAGGCAGGGAGGACCTGTGCGGCCGGGCAGGGCTGAAGCTGGAGAACCTGAGGGACCTGGGGGGCCAGGCAGGGCTGGGGCAGGGAGGACCTGGGGGGCCGGGCAGGGCTGGGGCAGGGAGGACCTGGGGGGCCGGGCAGGGCTGAGGCTGGAGGACCTGTGGGGGCCGGGCAGGGCTGGGGCCAGGGGCAGGGCCTACTGCCTCAGTTTCCCTGTCTGCATACAGCACAGCCTCTGGGGAGCACGGGGAGTGTGGCCACCCTGGACCCGAGTCCCCGTCCGACAGGGACACTGGCCAGAACGCCCAGGATGGCGGAGTGGCACTCACGGCACCATTCTTGAACAGGTCCCTAGGAAGGAACACAAAGTGAGGGCGGGGCCGGGTGGTGGGTGTGGTCAGGGGCGGGGCCAGGCAGGGCGGGCCTGATGATGGGCAGGGTATGTGGGCGGGGGGCCATGTGGGCGTGGTCAGGCCTGTGGCAAGGCTTTGTGGGCGGGCCTGGGGCGGGGGCTCGGTGGGCGGGGCCTGGGGCGGGGTTCAGTGGGCGGGGCCTGGGGCTCGGTGGGCGGGGCCTGGGGCGGGGCGGGGCGGGGCTACTGACGGTCCAGGTCGTCAGGGAACTGCAGCTCCTGCTCCTGCTCGCCGAAGCCGCGTTCCTGGGCCACTTGGCGGAACTTGTCCCAGATCTCTTTGTTTGGCTCCAGTCTGTGACCTAGGAGCAGGGGCTGAGCTGGGCCTGCCCGAGGAGGGTCCAGCCCCCGCTCCACCCCGGGGGCAGGGGCTTACTGTATAGCTTCAGGATCCGCTGGGCGCGCCCTTCCACGGAGGAGGACATTTCCAGGATGGTGAAGGTGACATAATCCGTGGCCACCACTTCCACATCCTTGCTTCCTGGGAGGCGGTGGGTGCTGAGCGCACGGCTCCCCAGGCTGGGGGCTGCACTCCAGGACACCCCGTCTTACGCAGGCCTGCCCATGGAACCCACCCACACACTGCCCCCTGGGCACCCAGCCCCGCGGGATGGTGGTGAGCGGTGGGCAGGACGGGTCCCCACGGCTGGGCCTTACCAGACTCTGCCATGATCTTGAACTTGCGTGGAGTGTCCCCCTGCGAGACCTGCTCCTTAATCGACACACAGCGGTTTCTGCAAGGACAGTGAGGTGCCACACCTCCCGCAGGGAGCGGCCCAGGCTGGGGGCACCCCTAGACAGACGCCAGGCCAGGCCGGCCCAGCCCGGGAGGAACCCAGACACGCCCTGGCCATGCACGGACACCTCCCTGTGGCCCAGAGCTGGACTCGGCCTCCAGGGTTGCTCAAGGGCAGCCAGCCCCCAGGCCTGGTATGATTGGTTACCCAGCCGGAAGGCGGGACACAGCCACCCTGGACCTGAGGCCGGGGCAAATGGCCTTCATGGCTGAAGGCTGGGGACACTGGGGCTTCCCCAGGCCCACCCCTCACGCTCACAGCCGGCGTGGGGCAGGGGTGGCTGCTGGCCAGGGTGGGCCCACTCTCGGCCAGCTGAACTCACTGAAAGTAGGAGGTGGTGAGGCTCAACTGGCCGTTCTCCAAGTTAATGAACACGGCGCTCACAGGCCGCCCGGGGCTCAGGGCCTGGCACTTGCTGGCAGGATCGGTGGCACAGGCGATCTCATACCATACACCTATAAGCTGGAGGGGGCAGCAGGCTGCTCAGGGGCCCCAGGATGCCAGCAGGGCCGCCTCCCCTACCCAGGGCACCTTGGCACCTCACACTGCCCCCACAGCCCAGGGCCCCTCTACATGGCCAGGGCAGCCCCCCATACCACCATGCCCACCCAGGGAGGGCTACCTTGGCGCCTCACGCTGCCTCTCCCCCACCCCCACAGCCCAGGGCCCCTCTGCATGGCCTGGGGCAGCCCCCACACCACCGAGCCCACCCAGGGCTACCTTGGCGATGTCCAGACTCTCGAGCTCCGGGCCCTGGGCCTCGATGACCACCGTCCCCAGACACAGCCCTAGCAGAGCCAGCAGCGCCATGCCCCCCATGTCCTTAGAGTACAGAGGGCTGTAGCCTGGGCACTGGCCCCAAGCCTTATATGTGTGGCGTGGGCACCGGCCAAGGCATGGCCAGCCCCTACATCTGAGCAACACGTCTCAGACCAGTGGGCAGCTCACCCACCTGCCAGCCAAATGGAGCCCCAGGGCACTGCCTGCGGCCATCTGTGCACCTGCTGCTCTCCCCCGAGCTGCCCCACAGGTTTGGGAAATGGCAGGGGCCCAGGTACAGGGCCTGGTGCACACCTCGGCCCCCCGGCAGGTCCCATGCTCTGAGGGCCTGCCAGGGGCAGGGGCACAGGTGCCCCAGCCTGAGGGAGGCCCGGCACCCTGAGCACAGGGGGGAGAGAGCCAAGCCAGCAGGTCCTCAGCCCACCCCCTCCGAGCTAGGGGAGGTCTCCACAGCCAGCCAGTGCCCACCCAGGGCGGCTGGTGGGGACACTCTCCCTCCTGTCCTCCTGACCACCGCTGTGGGTGGGTGACCCTGCAGAGAGTACCAGGAGGGCGGGGAGCAGCCAGCGAACACACAAGACGGGCCGCGTGGGGAAACAGGGCCACCAGGCCAGCTCTCACAGTCCCCTGCCGTGTAGCCTTGCCCGCGAGCCAGGACATCAGGTCAGAACTTGTGCTGGTCAGTGGAGTCGACAGGGCCAAGTGGACAGCAGGCGTGGCTCAGCAGGCAGACCCCTACTCAGGATACCCATGTCCCACGTCACAGTCCCGGTAATTCTGCTTCCAGGCTAACTCCTGGCAGGCAGCTGACCGTTTGGGCCCCTGGCCCCCCACCCCACCCACCACAGCTCCCGGATCCCACAGCCTGGCCCAGCCTGAGTGCTGTGGGCATTCGGGGAGCGAACCCGTGGAAGGCAGATCTCTCTCCCTCTCTCTCTCCCACCCTCCCTCTCTCTCTCACACACACAGCCCTGCCAGGCGCTGCTCCTTGTCCTGCCCCACAGGTGTCCGTGGACGGGAACCAGAGCTGGAGGGACTGTGTGGCTGGTCAGTCCCACATGGGGTTGACAGGCAGTCTGTTACATCGGGGTGCCTCTCTTGTGTGCCCCACCACCCCAGACTGCAGTGGGGCTGCTGGCCTCATAGACTGACACCCCCACCCTCTGCCCCACCCCCCAAAAAAGACACTCAGGGGAATGGTTTGCCATTCAGGTTTATTCAGAGCAGGTGAGGTCCAGTGAGGGCGGGAAGAGGCCAGGCCAGAGGCTGTGAGCACTGCGGGCTGGGGTGCCCTCCCCTAAATCAGCTCCTGCACACAGAAAACGGGTCTGCGGGGGCCAGGCAGGCCTGAGGCAGGGAGGGCCCTGAGGGGCCAGGCAGGGCTGAGGCGGGGAGGAGCCTGTAGGGTGCTGGGCAGGGCTGAGGCGGGGAGGGGCCTGTAGGGTGCTGGGCAGGGCTGAGGCGGGGAGGGGCTGTAGGGTGCTGGGCAGGGCTGAGGCGGGGAGGGGCCTGTAGGGTGCTGGGCAGGGCTGAGGCAGGGAGGGGCTGTAGGGTGCTGGGCAGGGCTGAGGCGGGGAGGGGCCTGTAGGGTGCTGGGCAGGGCTGAGGCGGGGAGGGGCCTGTAGGGTGCTGGGCAGGGCTGAGGCGGGGAGGGGCTGTAGGGTGCTGGGCAGGGCTGAGGCGGGGAGGGGCCTGTAGGGTGCTGGGCAGGGCTGAGGCGGGGAGGGGCTGTAGGGTGCTGGGCAGGGCTGAGGCGGGGAGGGGCTGTAGGGTGCTGGGCAGGGCTGAGGCGGGGAGGGGCCTGTAGGGTGCTGGACAGGGCTGAGGCAGGGAGGGGCCTGTGGGGCACCAGGCAGGGCTGAGGTGGGGAGGGGCCTGTGGGGGCCAGGCAGGCCTGAGGCGGGGAGGGGCCTGTAGGGTACTGGGCAGGGCTGAGGCGGGGAGGGGCCTGTAGGGTGCTGGGCAGGGCTGAGGTGGGGAGGGGCCTGTAGGGTGCTTGACAGGGTTGAGGTGGGAGGGGCCTGTGGGGACTGGGCAGAGCTGAGGTGTGGAGGGGCCTGTGGGGGCCAGGCAGGTCTGAGGCGGGGAGGGGCCTGTGGGGGCCAGGCAGGGCTGAGGCGGGGAGGGGCCATTCCTGCTGCCTCAGTTTCCTATCTGTATGTGGGACAACCTCTGGGGATGGGGAGCCCCCAAAACAGAGCCCACAGGGCCTGCCCTCCTCAACAGGACCTGCTAGACAGTAAGGTGAAACAGGGCCCCAGGGACCCATCTCCTAATTCTGTGTGGGGTCAGCGCCCCACAGGCTCCGGCTTCTGTCCAGGCCAAGCAGATGTGCCCCTGCCCATCAATGCTACCAGGTGCCCTGGCCTGAGGGCTGGACGCCCTGCACCCTGTCCCAGCTCACAGTGGCCCAGCCAGGCCGGGGCTCACCTTCTTCAGCATCCTGGCACACTTCCCTGGGGAACAGACACAGGAGATGAGGTGCAGATGGCCAGGGGACCCCACCCAGGCCCGGCCTGGCTGCCCACCCAAGGCCCTGTGGCTCACCCTGCCGGGGAAACAGGTAGAGGCCAGTGTGTGTGGTCAACTCCCGAAACCGCCACAAGCCAGCCATGTCCTCGCTCTCCAGGTTGCGAGCTGCAGGGACAGTAAGCTGCATGTGGTGGGTAGGGCGGGCAGGGTCCCCCTGGGTGGGAGTAGGACAGCCAGGGCAGCCAGGGTCCCCCCAGGTGGAGGCAGGGCAGGCAGGGTCCCCTCCCCCCGGGTCGGGGCAGGGCGGGCAGGGTCCCCCGGGGGGGAGTAGGGCAGCCAGGGTGGGCAGGGTCCCCCTGGGTGGGGGCAGGGCAGCCAGGGTCCCTCCCCCGGTCGGGGCAGGGCGGGCAGGGTCCCCCTGGGTGGGGGCAGGGCAGGCAGGGCGGGCAGGGTCCCCCTTGGTGGGCGCAGGACAGGCAGGGCGGGCAGGGTCCCCCTGGGTGGGGGTAGGGCGGGCAGGGCGGGCAGGGTCCCACTGGGTGGGCGCAGGGCGGGCAGGGCGGGCAGGGTCCCCCTGGGTGGGCGCAGGGTGGGCAGGGTCCCCCTGGGTGGGCGCAGGGCAGGCAGGGCGGGCAGGGTCCCCCTGGGTGGGCGCAGGGCAGGCAGGGCGGGCAGGGCGGGCAGGGTCCCCCTGGGTGGGCGCAGGGCGGGCAGGGCAGGCAGGGCAGGCAGGGCGGGCAGGGTCCCCCTGGGTGGGCGCAGGGTGGGCAGGGTCCCCCTGGGTGGGCGCAGGGCAGGCAGGGCGGGCAGGGTCCCCCTGGGTGGGCGCAGGGCGGGCTGGGCTGGCAGGGTGGGCAGGGTCCCCCTGGGTGGGCGCAGGGCAGGCAGGGCGGGCAGGGTCCCCCCTGGGTGCCAGCGGAGCTTACTCAGGTACTTGATCACGGAGAAGTCCCGCCCCTGCCACAGCATGGACACCCGCAGGATGGCATAGCCCTCATAGTCTGTGTCCAGCACCCAGATCTCCCTGTGGCCTTGAGAGCCAGCGGGGTGGGGTGGGAGCTGGAGGGGGGCCTTCTGCACTCCAGGGACTCCCCCACCCCGGGACCCCCAGAGCCTAGACCCTGGGATGAGGACCCGTGTGGTAGGGGGCGGGGAGCAAGAGGGCAGAACCACCAGTGCAGCGGCACCAGGGGGCATGTGGGCTGGGAGGGCGTGGGGCACGTGGACACTCACCAGGAAACATGAACTTCCCCACCACGTCGGTCTCCAAGCCCAGAGCTGTGTCCACCTTGCAGCTCCCTGAGCTGAGAGGCGGCAGAGGACCCCTGCTTTCTGCTGCTCCATCTCCCCACCCCTACGCGGGGCAGGACGGGGCTGCCCAGCCTGTCCCCAACACCGAGCTGCCTGCCCACCCTAAGGTCCTCCCACATGTGGGCTGATGGGCTCTGTGCTGGCCTTGGAGAGCAACGCCCCTGGCCTGTCCCCGTGGGACCCTGGGCCCTCACTTGTTGTATGCGGCTTCCACGACCAGGCTGCTACCGTTAAAGGCAAGCAGCAGGCCCTCCACCCGGTTCGGAGCGTTCAGCGCCAGGCTGTGGTTGGAGGCCACTCCAGCTTCCCGCCAGAAGCCGGCCATCTGGAGAGAGGAGCGGAGCCGTCCCCAGCCCCCGGGACTGGCAGAGACCCCAGGAGGAGCCATCCCCAGCCCCCGGACTGGCGGAGACCTGCCTACCCCATCCCCGCCTGAGGGCACCCACACACGGGGAGGCCTCTGCCCCCAACGCCCTCAGGCCCCTCCCGCCCCAGCCCCAAGCCAGCCTTCACCTTCTGCTGGTCCAGGACCACCATGACTGGTTCCACCTGCAGCCGGGACACAGTGAGAATGCCCAGGAGGGCACCCAGCAGCCCAGCCTCCATGTTGGGTGGGGCGGGCAGCTCGCGGTCTGCACTTATACCTGGAGGCGGCCAGCCTTGTGCGGTCACGCAGAGCGCCGTGGGGCTGGCCTGGCTGCTGGCAAGCCAGCATCCGTCCACGGACACCCACACCCAGCGTAGGCCTCTGGGCCAGCTGGCAGCCTCAACTGCATCCTCCCAGGCCAGCAGCCCTTCCTTGTAGGACACCTGCCCCGTGGCCTCCTTCCGCACTGGGCCCGGGGCACCTGCCTGACCCCAGCCCCCTACTCCCCCAAACTTGGGGCAGCACCCAGGAGGGCTGCATGACCCTTGGGCCCCCAGAAGAGATTAGGCGAAGGGGATGAAGGTTGCTCGGCTCTTCCGGTCACCAGCCCTGGCCTCCTGAGGGTCCCCATTTACAGCGGTGACGGCTGAGCCGGGACCTGGGGGCTGGGGAGGACCCAGGGCTCAGCGATCAGGGCTCAGCATGCCCCTGCAGGTGTTGCCACCCAGCCGGGAGGCCCGGCTGCCATCCCAGCTCCCTGCCAACTCAGACACGGGAGGCAGCAGGCAAGTGCCTGGGCTCCCTCCGGGCTGGTGGCAGAGCGGGCCGGGGGCTCCCAGCTCCCGCCCGGCCCAGCTCCAGCAGTCACAGTCTGCGGACAGGAGCTGCTTGTCTGTCTCTTGGGTATTTTTCTTCACTGTTACACCAAGAGGTGTCCTGCCCAGACTTTGTGTCCAGAGCCCAAGCCCGGCCAGTCACTGGCTCCTCCGGACAGCAGCGCAAGCGTCGGGCCAGAGCTGGGCTTCTGTGTTAACATGTTTATTGGAAAGACAAAGCAACAGAATTTCCACCTGCTGGTTCCATCCCTAAATGACTGCGATGGCTGAGGCTGGGCCAGAGCCAGGACCCCATCCGGATCTCCCACATGGGTGCTGGGGCCCAAGCACTTGGCCATCCTCGACTGGACGGCCCAGCAGGGAGCTGGATGGGAAGTGGAGCAGCCAGGATTAGAACCGGCGCCCACATGGGATGGGAGCAGGTCTCACTGTGCACACCCCCCCCCCCCACTGGGAAATCTTAAAACAGACCATTTTTATTTCGAGACCAATTTACTTGTGACACAAAATGATGACAATGATGATAATAGTGATAATAATAATTAATTAAGACCCTGGCATTTTGGCATAGTAGGCAGAGCTGCCACCTGTAGCAACAGCATCCCATATGGGTGCAAGTTCGAGTCCCGACTGCTCCACTTCCAATCCACCTGCCTGCTTATGCCCTGTCCCCACACACAACAGCCAGAAGCAGCCCTGGTTCTGGGCAGCCCTGCCAGGCTGTGCAGCCTCCTGGCGCACTGGGCAGTCAGTTCTGAACGCCAAGCTGTGGCAGCTGCTTGTTGGCAGGAAGGAAGCGCTGGGTGGGCTTGGCTCCAGGGGTGGCGAGGCCTTAGCTCCCTAATGCTGCTTTTCAAATTCAACAGATAAGTCCCTTTAAAAACAGACTCACCCTCTGAAAATGAGCTGAAAATAAACACCTGCCTGCCAATGCCCTCTGCCCCGGCTTATCTTCCCTCTAAATAAAAGGAAGAAAGAAGCCAGGTGGGGGGCTGCCCCGTGTGCCCTTAGGTGGCAGAGGACATGACAGGCCCAGGCATCGGCACCACGGGGTCCCCGGCTGCCCTGCGGCCCTGGGATCTGGCTCGCTGAACCGCAGAGGGGGAGGGCTTGTGGCCAGAAGGGTCCCAAGTGCCGGGCCCACCCTGAGCCCACTCAGTGAAAAACCCTCGAAGGCTCAAGGTTGCACCATGGGGCAAGTCAGGGCAGACCGTCCCCGTGCCAGCTGCCACTCCCGAAGCTCAGGGTCCTGAGGCAACCAGGGCCACCCTGGCCAGGCAGGAGAGGCAGGGGGCCAGGAAGCGGGGGCTGCCCGGATCCCTGGGCACAGGATGCGGACAGCCGCCCTGGGGCCTGGGGCTTCCGGCTCCTGCCCCCGCAAGAGCCGCAGGCACAGCCGAGCAATGGACCAGAACCGCGAGCCTCTTCCCAGCCCTGGCCAGACCTCTGCAGTGTGGGCAGTGGACACGGCTGGCCAGCAGGGCTTGAGGCACGCCCGGGGACAGAACGCCACGGCCCTGAGTGGCCCCTCCCGCACCCTGGCTCTGTGGGGAACAGGGAGTCCAGGCCCTCGGGCTGACCACTGGGGGTTTGGCTGGCAGCCCAAGCCCTGGCGTACTGGGCACCAAACCCAAGCATGCCCCACAGCTCCGACCTCACAGACACTCTGGGCACCACCACCACCACAGCCCAAATGCGGTGGAGACCCCAGGGCCCAAGATAGGGCTGGAGGTGCCCTCCCCCAGGGCGTCCCCCAGGAAGCATGGACCCGCCTGACTTGGCAGCTGTTTATTCCTGGGAAGGAGGCACGGGGTGGGCTTGGCTGAAGAGTGGCGTGGCCTTAGCTCCGGGCTCAGCCTGCAGGAGGAGACACGGCTCTGTCCACCTGCTCCCTGGACAGTGCCCCCTGCCCCCCAGGCCGACACCCACAAGGCCAGGGAGAGCTCACGGTGGCACCCCTCATCCACGTGGGGCAGCTCCCCAAGCAGCACTGCTGTCCCTGCAGCCCACCCAGACTGTGGACCTGTCACACTCCCCCCAAGCAAGCCGAGAGCGGGGTGGGGAGCGTCCTGGAAGAGGTGATGCAGGGCCAGGCTGGGGAACCAGCTGACCAGGCAGGGCAGTGGGGAGTGGGGACGGGCAGCCCAGGAAGCCCCTCAGGACCTGGGCACTCACCCTGTGCCCCACCTGGGGACAACGGGGGGGCCTCAGAGCTGTCAGGGGGCTCCGTGCCCTGGGGGGCACACACATCTGTGGGGAGAAGATGCTGAGCTGGCAGGGGCAGGGGTTGGGGAGGACCGGGCGACCCTCTGCCTTCTCCGTATAGGGGAAGCAGGGGGCTGGGGAGGGCGGTGGGCGGCAGCTGGCGTACCCGGCCTGGGCAGCTCGGCCATGGCGTGGCCCAGCAGGCCGACGGTCGGGTAGAAGTCTTGGAAGGCCTTCAAGGCCTGGGGGCTGGGGTCCCTCGTCCGGCCTGGAACAGCAGGAGGCCCTGTGGACTTGGGCAAGGGATGGGGCTCGGGAGGGGGTGTCCCTACTCTCAGCTCACCTCCCCGAGGGACCCCCTGAACCAACTAGCCCTCTCCCAAAGTGTAGTGGGATCCCCCACTCAGGGGAGGGGCCAGAGCAGGCCAAGAGTCAGGGAGATGTCGGGATCAGCCCGGCTGGGCAGGGGTCGGCCCCAAACACCCACCACCCTAACAGGGAGCATGGGGTGCAAAGTCCAGCTGTGGACCAGGGCCCTGCTGGGCGGGGCGTAAGGAGGGCGTGGCTCTGGGAGCGCGGTGGGCGGGGCCTGGGCATGGTGCAGGGAGGGCGTGGCTCCGGGAGCGCGGTGGGCGGGGCCTGGGCTGGGAGTGGGGCGTGGCTCCGGGAGCGCGGTGGGCGGGGCCTGGGCTGGGTGTGGGGCGTGGCTCCGGGAGCGCGGTGGGCGGGGCTCTGCTGGGGCGGGCCTTGGGGCGGCTCTGTGGGCGGGGCTAGGGAGGCGTGGCTTCCAGGATCGCGTGGGAGGGGCTCTGCTGGGCGGGGCTCTCACTGTAGAGCTGCACCGCTGTGCAGGGCGCTCCCCCCAGCTCCTTGGAGATGTAGAGGATGGCGAAGGAGTCGTAGTCCGTGCTGGCAATGCGCACATCCATGTAGCCCAGGGCTGCGGAGGAGGCGGAGGCCCAGTGCACAGCAGAGCCAGGTGGGCAGGGCTCGGTCCCTGCCCACCGCCCATGCTGACCATCCACAGGCGCTGTTACCTACCTGGAACCCTGAAGTGTCCGTCGGAGCCCACCTTCAGGTACTGGGCGTCCACCTGGCTGCAGCTGTCCGCCCTGGGAGACACCGAGTCACACCCTGCCCTGCGGCAGGCCCCTCCCGCTCCCTCACCCCTGCCTCTCACCTCGGGACCTGCACCTGGACGCTGAGGTTGCCTCCCTCAGTGGCGTTAACGATTCTAGTGGACATCAGAAGGTGGTCCTTCTCGCCCGGGAAGGCCTTGCAGTCGGACGCCATGGCCACCACATACCAGAGGCCGGAGAACTGTGGGGCGGCTCCATGAGCCACAGGCAGGGGTAGCTCCAGCTGCCCCTGCCTGCCCAGGTGTGGTGGGAGACAGCCCCAGGGCCCAAAGACAGGCTCATCATGAGGCCCAGGTGTGGGTCCGTCTGCCCTTCAGGCCTGAGCCCCCATCCTGGAGGCCACAGCACTTGGAGCCTCAATTTTCCCAGCTGTGAAATGGGCCACACACAGGGCTGTTGAGGACCCGATGGAGGGTGGCTCTAACAGGTCTGCCAGGCCAGGGCAGGTGAACACTCCTTGTCACTGATGTCACAGGGAGGCCTGGTCCCCAGCCCTCCAGTCTACAAGGTCCCCAGTACCTTCTGGGCATCAAAGCTGGGCTGCACCAGGACCTCCACCTGGGCTATGGGCCCCCAGGGCAGCACCAGCACCAGGCTCAGCAGGACCAACCTCACCCCCATGCCTGCCCACACTCCCACACCCCAGGGACCGCACTTTATAGCTGCTGGGCTCACGGGGGCAGGGAGCGGGCTGTGCAGTGGGAGGCCCCCTGGCCATTGTCCTCACCTTTGTCCATTGTCTGCTGGCCCTGGGGGTCATTTCCTGGAGGGGTTCCTTCCCAGGATGAGGCCAGGTTGGCCCTCGACTGGATTATAGGATCAGCCAGCCCTAATTACCGCTTGTGCACATGTGCAGGTGGGGGCGACGCCGGGCAGGCGCCATGGGCGGGCGGATGGAGCCTCTCGGGGGGCACTTTGCATGGTGACCTCTCCATGTCCGTCAGACCCCCGGGGATGCTGGGCCGGGAGCAGCCTGCAGCACATCCTGGTGCCAGCACCCACGGGCCTCAGCCCAGCAGGGGCACAGGGTCTGAGCTGAGACAGGAAGGGGCAGGGGTTGCTTGCTGTCTGCGCAGGGCTGCCGGAACAGGTACTGGTTCTCAGCCAGCGTCCCTGCCAAGCTGGCCTGCAGAAGCAGCGAGAATGCTTACCAAACACAGATGAGGGGATTAATCTTCTGAATTCCCTGCCCACTAACTGGGACAGAGCAGAGAGGCGCGTTGCCAGGACAACGTCCAGACGGGCAGATGGAGACAGGAGACCAGAGCAGTGGGTGCCCTGGTCCAAGGCGGCCTCCGGGGCCTGTGCATCCCCACCTGCAGGTCCAGCAGGACAGCACGGGCCTGGGCCACCCCCTCCTACAATGTTCCCACTGCAGGCAAAGCAGGCAGACCTTGGCAGGCGACCGCGTGGCAGCCAGGGCCGGGGCACACACAGCCCCCGGCCCACGTGGCAGCCCCTGGGCACACAGGGGGCAGCTGTAAAAAGGCCCCCAGAGCAGACCCTGCCCCCACTCTACCCCTCCTGGCTCCGACCTCACACACCCAGCTCTCACCTTTTAGAACACCTCAGCAGGGGTTCCGACCCCTCCTCACAGACCCAGCCTCAGTAGGACAGACCCCCCCAGGCTGGGTGACAGAGGCCTACACTCCCCCCGCTCCCCCGTGCACAGGAGGCCTCTTCCGTGGAGTCCAGGCTGCACGTGTGTGTGCAAGAAGGCCAGGCGTGGGAGCCCGTGTGTGCAGGGAGGCCAGGTGTGTCCATGACAGCCCGTGTGCGCTGGGAGGCCAGGCGTGTGCGTGGGAGCCCGTGTGCGCTGGGAGGCCAGGCGTGTGCGTGGGAGCCCGTGTGTGCAGGGAGGCCAGGTGTGTCCATGACAGCCCGTGTGTGCAGGGAGGCCAGGCGTGTGCGTGGGAGCCCGTGTGTGCAGGGAGGCCAGGCGTGTACGTGGGAGCCCGTGTGCGCTGGGAGGCTATGCGTGAGCAGGAAGAATGCTGTGTCGGGCCTCCATCCCAGCGGTGGCCCAGGAGGCTACACACACTGGCCCCTGTGGCCCCCACAAGCAGTCCTGTGGGGAGGGGCACAGCTCAGTCCCCACACTGCCCTGCAGCGGGAGGAGCGGGCGCCAGGATGCTGCCAGACTTCAGAGCCCAGGCCTCAGGGGGGTCCGATCCTCAGGCCTGGGCTCTGGTCACCGGGTTACATTGTTACAGCCACGGCCTAAGGCTGGCAGAGAGCTGGATGACAGAGGTGACCGAGTGACCAGGAAGGACACTGCTGGCCGGAGCGCGGCCCCCAACGGCACACGGCAGGGTGCATGTGGAGTTCAAGTCCACTCACTCCGGGTGTGGGAAGTCGGGTTGACGGGCCCAGGTGACTCAGGGCTCCTGGCACAGGACCCCTCCCTTCACGGTTAAGGTCACCCTGCGGGCTAGGCTGTTTGCGAAAGCATTTCACAGAAGTTAAGCAAGTCAAACCACACTGCCCCATCCCAGCTACGGCCTATTTCCTCAAATGACGACGAGCCGGAACAAGCACGCTTCCATGCTGGCCATCTTATCTTAAACAACGGTGACCTCACGCACCCCTCCCTTCCACATTACCTTCACAGAGCAAGTCGGGCCAGCCCCGACCCGCACCCACGGGTGTGCTTCCCGCAGCTGCCGCTGGCACAGCTTGGGGCCCCAGGTCCCCTCCATAGCGCTCCAGCGGCTCCCGGGGGCAGCTGAGCCTGCACACCCAGGACAGACGGGCCTCGGTCACCGTGCCGCCAGATCACCCTCCAGCCCCTCACACCCACGCACTCCCTCTGTGTGCACCCACACCTCAGCTCTCATGTGGCCGCAGGCAGGACCCAGGCCAGCGCAGCACGTGCCAGGCAGCGACCCCAGAGCCGAGGTCAGTGACTCGAGCATCCGGAAGAGTCCCAGGCGACAGGAAGCCCTGCTCGGGCCCAGCTGTGGTATGTTGCCTGGGAGTGGGTCCTGGGCGCTGGGCACTGCCAGGTCGTCTCTCAGTCAGCCCTCCACAGCCACTGCTCTCACCCAGGCCGGGTGACTGACCAAGATGGGGTTCAAGGATGTGCCCCCCGTCATTTCTGCTCCCCAAACACACTCAGGGGAGGGTCTGCCCTTCCCCTCCCCGACCCCAGCAGCCTGAGGGAGGCTCCATGGGTCCCTTCCAGAACCCCGAGAAAGTGGCTTAGTTCTGACCAGGCTGTGGGCCTGCACCTGCTCACATAGCACCCTGGGCCAGCTCCACTTCCTGCCAGCCTCCCAGCCAGGCCCTGCCCACCACCAGGCCTGGGCTCCAGCCCTCAGCCCGCCCAGGCCCTGCATCTGTCTTAAGCCAAGCAGCACACCTGCCAGGTGTTCAGAGCTGACCCTGGGCACTGCAGAGGGGCCCCTGTGAGGCTGAAAGCCGGCGGGAGCAACCCCCACTGGAGCACAGAGCTGCGGGGTGTGAGCCCCCCGAGCAGAGGCTCGCAGGCTCACTGCCAGCAGAGACAGCGCAGAGAGCTGTAGGAATGCTCCGGGCCCTGCTGTGGCCACCGCCTGCCTGGCCAGGACCCATCTCCCCCCGCGTCCCTGCCCAGCGCCCTGTGCTCCAACCTCTCCCCCAGGCGGGCACCTGCCACCTGGGCAGGCAAGCACTGCAAGTCCTCCAAGGACTCTGGTAGCAGGCACAGGGCCCGAGTGGGCTCCACAATGAGTGTTACCGCCTGCTAAACACTGCACCCCTCACTTCATCTGGGCCTCACACAGGGTGCAGGGGCCCAGGGCTTTGGGCCGTCCTGTACTGCCCCCCCGGCGAAGGGGAGCAGCTGGGACTAGAACCAGCACCCATGCGGTGGATATGTAACACGGGCCCACTCATTCCACACATCACGGCTTGGGCCCGTTTTACACGGTTTGTTTTTATCTGAAAGGTAGACAGGAGATCGCCTACTTGCTGGCTCTCTCCCCAACGGCTGCCATCAGCGGGGAACTGGGCGCCGTGGAGGGCACCCTCGTGTGGCCACCCAGCACCCTCCTCTGGTCTCCCAGCACCCTCGTGTGGCCACCCAGCACCCTCCTCTGGTCTCCCAGCACCCTCCTCTGAACAGCACCCTCCTGTGGCCTCCCAGCGCCCTCCTCTGAACAGCACCCTCCTCTGGTCTCCCAGCACCCTCCTTGGTCTCCCAGCGCCCTCCTCTGTCTCCCAGCACCCTCCTTGGTCTCCCAGCGCCCTCCTCTGTCTCCCAGCACCCTCCTCTGTCTCCCAGCACCCTCCTCTGTCTCCCAGCACCCTCCTTGGTCTCCCAGCACCCTCCTCTGTCTCCCAGCACCCTCCTCTGTCTCCCAGCACCCTCCTCTGTCTCCCAGCACCCTCCTTGGTCTCCCAGCACCCTCCTCTGTCTCCCAGCACCCTCCTCTGTCTCCCAGCACCCTCCTCTGTCTCCCAGCACCCTCCTTGGTCTCCCAGCACCCTCCTCTGTCTCCCAGCACCCTCCTCTGTCTCCCAGCACCCTCCTTGGTCTCCCAGCACCCTCCTCTGTCTCCCAGCACCCTCCTCTGTCTCCCAGCGCCCTCCTTGGTCTCCCAGCGCCCTCCTTGGTCTCCCAGCGCCCTCCTCTGGTCTCCCAGTCCTGCCATCTCCTCTGCCTGGGGGCCGAGATCCGCTGCCCACGCCCCTGCTCACACACTCCCGCGGCTGGGACCCTGGTTCCCAAGCCGAGACAATGACCATCACATCCCCGAACGTGAAAACGGGAAACAGAAGCAGCCAGAGCCGGCAGCTCATCCCGCCCGCTTCTCGAGGCCGGGCTCGGCTCCCGCTCCGCCACGCATGCGCCAGAGTGCCCCGCCCCGCTACTCCGGTACGCCCCGCCCACATCCACGCCCCGCCCCACGGCTCCTGCCGGCCACGCCCACATCCACGCCACGCCCCGCGGCTCCGGCCGGCCACGCCCCCGCACAGGCCCTCCTTGCGCCTGCGCAGGCGCACTCCGCTCTGCCAACCAGCACCGCCATGGTGAACCTGGGGCTGTCCCGTGTGGACGACACGGTGGCCGCCAAGCACCCGGTGAGGACGCTGGCGAGGCACGTAGAGCGCCTGGCCTCGAGGCTGACCTGAGCGCAACGGGGTTGGAGGGGTCCCCTTGAAAGAAGCCCAGCAGGAGGCACCCGTTGCCCCTGGATGGGGGCGGGTGGACATGTGCCCGCCCTCAGGGTCCCCTACCCGGCCTGGGCACAGGGTGGGGTGACTTGCCCGCCCTCAGGGTCCCCCTCCAGGGCCTGGGCACAGGGTGGGGTGACTGTGCCCGCCCTCAGGGTCCCTCCCTCTGGGCTGGAGGAGAGGCCGGAGGGGCTGTGAAGGCCAGCCCTGTACCCTGCTCACCCAGGGTCTCGGGGAATACGCCGCCTGCCAGTCCAGGGCCTTCATGAAGGGCGTGGTCAGCTTCATCTCAGGTGGGTGTGGGTGCCTGGGGCTTGCCCCTGCCTAGGTAGTGCTTGAGGCCAAAGCGGCGATGCACCTGCCCCCTGCGTGGGCTGACCGGTAGGCACCTCTGCCCTGGCAGGTACGGGCACCACCTTCATCCTGCTGACCTTGGCCCAGAGGAAGTTTGCGTACCATCTGCAGTGGAGCCTGCTGGGGGCTGTGGGTGGGTACTCCTGGGCGCAGGGGTACTCCAGGGGTGTGGGGTGGCCATGGTTCTGGATTCCCTGCTTCCAACTCGGGGCCCAGTTCTTGGGGGGACCCTACCCACCCCAACTCGTGTGCAGCTGCCCCCTGAGAACAGAGGCCTCAGCCCATCACCCTGCCCCACAGTCGCAGGCTCTGTGGCCAGCTATGGGGTGACCAGAGTGGAGTCCCAGAAATGCAGTGACCTCTGGCTTTTCCTGGAGACGGGGCGGCTCCCCCAGGACCAGGACACAGGTGAGGGGCTGGGGGCCACAGGACACAGAGGCTGGGGCGGGGGGAGCACAGGGCACTCTCTGCAGAGGTTGGGCCCTGGGGAGTGCGATTAAGGAGTTCTGGGTGACATGTCAGGGCAGGGGCGCCCACTCCTGACAGCCACTCTCCTCCTTGTGGCACGCAGGGCCAGGGCCTGCGTGTACCCCCTGGGCTGGGACCTGGAGCAGTGACTGACAAGTCTCTCTGCTTCTTCCAGGTGAGCGCAGCTAGGGGGACCTGCAAGCAGCCCTCCGTGTCCCCCAGCCTCAGGCTGGCCCACCATGCAGCCCCACTCCAGCCAAGTCCGTGCACGGCAGCCCCAGGTCTGAGACAAGTTTGGCCAGCCTGCCTCGGGGGACCAGCACAGTGGGCTCCCCATGGTGCCAAGGCAGACCCCCGACACCTCCTATCCAGCCCCTGTGTCCCCAGCAGGCGCAAAACTAATACACAGCTGTGCTTTCCCAGCGGAGTCTCGGGCAGTGACTGTCCAGGGCTGAGGAGAGCTCACCAGTGCCCTGGCCACCACACAGCCGGCCTGGGGTCCTGGGAGGGCGTCCCACACCTGCACCCGGAGCCAGGGCCCCTGGGACCAAGAGGCCTCTGCATGGAGGTTTCTGATAACCACTTGGAGCGCAGGCCGCCTGCCTGGCTGCAGAGACCAAGGGGAGGCCACGACTGCCAGCCCATCCCTGCCGCAGCGAGCATCAAGGGGGCTGGGGTCCCAAACAGGAAGGGCCACCCACAGCCCTCCAGCAAGAGAAACGGGAGGCCATCCCAGCCTCCTGGGCCGCCAGTACAGGTCCCCGTTCCTCCAGCCCAGGTCCCTGTTCCCCCAGCCCCCTGTTCCCCCAGCCCTGGTCCCTCCTCCCCCAGACCAAGTCTCTCCTCCCCCAATCCCCTGCTCCCCCAGCCCAGGTCCCACCTCCCCCAGCCCCCTGCTCCCTCAGTGCCCTGAGCCCCCAGCACAGCCCCCACTCCTCATGGGCCAGCGGCCATCTGCAATGTTTACAAGGACCTCATATGCCTTAGGCTGGTAGAGTGCAAAGTGGCAGGGAGCGTGGGGTCTCCACAGCCACTTTGTCTCGGGTAAAGCTGGGTGCATGTACAGGTCGGGGGCGGGACCCAGCTCCGGTGGTCCAGTCTTTGCTGCCATGGTCTCCACGCCCAAACCCGCCTCACGGCAGAGGCAGCCAGCATGTCTTCATTGCACTTCACAAGGGAGGGCACCCACCACTGTTACTTTTATCCCATCGGCTAAAACAAACCCTGGTTCAGGCACAAAGAGGTGGCCTGGCCATGGGCAGCCTTGAGGCAGCAGACGCCCAGCTGGGTCCCCAAGAACACAGGAGGCTGCATGGCTGCTTTGTTAGGCACCCCCAGCCCCTGGCCAGCAGGCAGGGGGTGTGAGCATGGAGTGTGAGGCTGATGGAAGTGGTGTTGGAGTGAGGCTAAGAGACCTCCACATGCAACCCCACATCCCGTATCCATGCAGCTCGAGTCCAGCTGCTGGCAGCTGGGCCTGGGAAGCTGAGAGGTGCCTGGAGCCCGTGTGCACACCGGGAGGAAGCTCCTGGCTGCTGCCGCCATCTGCCTTCCCAGTCGCTGTCACCCACCACTGCCTTCCCAGTAAATCAACCTGGGGAAATGCAGTAAGTGGCTGGAGCAGTGAGGGGCCGGGCGGGAGGCCAGGGGAGTTGAGGCTGCAGCAACCCGGCTCGGAGCCACTGTCCCCCCAGACCACAGTCCTGGCCTCCCAGTGCCCTGAGGCATGGCCATACCCCAAGGCCCAACCCCAGCACCAGATCCCAGGGAAAGGACGGGCCTCAGGGTCAAGCCAAGGCTGGTCGCGGCAGAGCGGGGCTGCAGAGCACTGTGCCCGCTCAGACAGGCTACCTGGGGAGGGTGGACACCCGTGTGGTCCCCGGGACATCTGGCCACGGATGAGAATGACACAGTGTTCGCCCTGCACTGCACATGGCCACGAACATTTTGGGGTTCTGAAAGCTGAAAAGGATGGCCCCAAGGTCCATTTTTTTCCAGGGCCAGACGGTGCCTGCCCAACCAGGAGCCCTGCACCCCACGCCCTTGGCTGTTTGTTCCCCACGCCGTCAGTGGGGACAGCTGGCCAGGGAGGCCGGGCAGCTCTGTAGGGCCCTGGGCTGTCTCCACCAGCTGCCTGGGGTTCACAGCCGCCTGCAGGCTCAGCGGACACTGCATCCTGGAAGGGAGCAGAAGGCGTGCCCTGTGGGTTACACCTGTAGGTGGATGAAGGTGATTATGGCTGATGTCACAGTGGGGGTGGGGTGCTAATCCTGCCTGGGAGATTACATACAGCCACCCGCGTTGACCCTGCCCTTGCTTCCAGACCGCTGAGAGCAGCTGCTGGGTCCCGGGCTGCAGTTCCCAGCCACAGCCCACTGTGCACCCTGGGAGACACCATCCTGGGAGGGGCAGAGCAGGTCAGGCCCAACAGGGAGGGGCTTGTGAGCTGGGACCCCCAGGGCATGGGAGGGGCAGCAGAGTGCAGGGGCCTGGACATGGGGTGCAGAAGAGACCCCTGGACACGTGGCCCTGCACAGCTCCCCGGCAGATACTGCGAGACCAGCCTGACCCTGTCGGAGACAAAGGCTAGACAGGGCGTGTCTGGAATCCCAGGGCTCCTGTCACAATGGGTCAGGGTTCTGGGGACAATCCAAGCTGCTGCCAGCTTTGTACAATTGGGGCGACGCACAGAGCGGGTGGGAAGTGCACAGCGCCCCAGGCCCTGACACCACCATGAAGGTGCACAGTGACCCGGACCTGGAAGAGCGTATCCAGGAGCTGAGAACCATCACCCGGCTCCAGGGTGAGAGAGCGGGCAGGACAGCAGGGACAGCCAGGGCGAGAGGACGGGCGGGCGGGGCCTACCAGTCAGAGGACAGCCGGCGGGACGGCGGGACGGCCAGGGCGAGAGGACGGACGGCGGTACAGCCAGGGCGAGAGGACGGACGGCGGGACAGCCAGGGCGAGAGGACGGGCGGATGGGACGGCCAGGGCGAGAGGACGGACGGCGGGACGGCCAGGGCGAGAGGACGGACGGCGGGACGGCCAGGGCGAGAGGACGGACGGCGGGACGGCCAGGGCGAGAGGACGGACGGCGGGACGGCCAGGGCGAGAGGACGGACGGCGGGACGGCCAGGGCGAGAGGACGGACGGCGGGACGGCCAGGGCGAGAGGACGGGCGGGTGGGACGGCCAGGGCGAGAGGACGGACGGCGGGACGGCCAGGGCGAGAGGACGGGCGGATGGGACGGCCAGGGTGAGAGGACGGACGGCGGGACGGCCAGGGCGAGAGGGCAGCAGGCAGGACGGCCAGGGCGAGAGGACGGACGGCGGGACGGCCAGGGCGAGAAGACCCACAGGTGGCAGGGGTATGGCCAGGGTGAGTGGGTAGGCAGGTGGTCTGGACCTGCCAGGGCGAGAGGACGGGCAGGCAGCTAGCTGGGGACCTGGCTGTGTTGAGCAGGCTGGCCTTGGGGGACTTGCCCCACAAGGGTCCCAGAGCTTAAGACCCGCTCCAGGGTAAGCGATTTGGCCAGGCGGCTGGGGCCTGCCCAGGGTGAGTGGGTGAGTGGACAGCTATCTGGGACCTTGTCAGGGTGAGCGGGCCAGCCCTGGGGACCTGCCCCGCACAGAGGGGAGCTCCAGAGCCAGGAGGGAGGAATTCCTGCACCTGTCCATCCCCACTGCCCAGCACCTAGGCCAGAGGGCCCTGGGGCTCCACACCCCAGCAGGGAGGCACCTCAGCACACCCTGCCCCTCCCCCTCGCCCGCAGAGCAATGCCGGGCACTCCAGATCCAGGGCGTGAAGGAGAAGACGGCGCAGAATAAGGCGACGCTGAGCCTGCTGCGGAGCAGCATCCGCCGCGGGGCCCAGGACTGGGCTCTGGCCAAGAAGGTGCTGAACTCGCCCCACTGCCCCAGCCAGGCCCCTCTGGACATCAGCCGGGAAGAGGGCGCCCATGCCAGCTGTGGAGGGGAGACCTGGGCCCCCTGGGACCCAGGAGCGGCCAGGGGGACCACCAAGGGCCGCTCCGGCTCAGCTGTGGAGGGAGACCTGGGCCCCCTGGGGACAGCAGGCCGGGGGACCCGGGAATGGCCAGGGGGACCACCGGCTCAGCTGTGGAGGGAGACCTGGGCCCCCTGGGGACAGCAGGCCAGGGGACACTCTGAGAGTGGGCAGGGGGACCACCAAGGTCGCTCCGGCTCAGCTGCCGCCATCCACAGTACGACCAAAGCGTCATCTCCAAGGCCTGCGGGAAGGATGTGTCCAGCAGGCTGGCGCTCAGCCGCAACAGCATGGAGGTGAGTGGCACGCTGCGGTGGGGTCCCCGCCCCGTGTTCGCGTCCCGCCGCCGCACCCACCCACGCGCGAACCGAGCCTCTCGGCCCAGGTGGCGCGCGAGAAGCTGCGCAAGTACGTGTTCGACCGCGTGAACACGCACAACGTGCTCATCCACCTGGTGCGGCGGCGTGGACAGCAGCTGGAGTGCCTGCAGCTGGAGCTGGAGCGCCTGCGCAGTCAGCCCGACGCCACCAAGGAGGAGCTGCGGCTGCTGCAGGTAGCCGGGGGCGTGGCCAGGGATGGGGAGGGGCCAGGGGTGAGGGGCGTGGCCAGGGATGGGCTAGGAGGAGGGCGTGGCCAGCCATTGGGGTGAGCTAGGAGGGAGGGCGTGGCCAGGGATAGGCTGGGGGCGTGGCCAGGGATGGGCTAGGAGGGAGGGCGTGGCCAGGGGTTTGGGAGGGGCCGGTGGGGGCGGGGCCAGGGGATGGGGTGGGCTAGGAGGGAGGGCGTGGCCTAGGGATGGGCTAAGAGGGAGGGCGTGGCCAGGGATGGGCTAGGAGGGAGGGCGGGGTCAGGAGTGAGGGGCGGGGCCCTGCCGCGGGGTGGGGCGGGGCTTGTGGAGGCCAGGTTCCTGTGCCCGGTCTGCCCCAGGTCATCCGCCAGCTGGAGAACAACATCGAGAAGACGTTGGTCAAGATCACCACGAGCCAGAACATGCGCCTGCTGTACGTGGACCTGCTGGACTACCTGAAGTCGGTGAGCTGGCGTCCGCGGCTGGCCAGGTGGGGTCTCCGCCTCGCTGCCGCTGCTCCCTGAGGGTATTGGGGGTCCCAGGGTCGGTGGGAGGTCCTCCAGCTTTACAGTTCAGTGAGATCAGAAAGCACCCCAGATCACACTGCACCCTGACAGCGTGCATTAGCCGGCCGTGGCCCTGCCTCACCCCGTGCAGGTGCTGGCAGGGTACCCCATGGAGCTGGACAAGCTGCAGAACGTGGTGGTCCACTACTGCTCAGAGCTGTCAGACATGACAGTCATGTCCCAGGACGCCATGATGATCACGGACGAGGTGAAGGTAAGCCCAGGACCCAGGCCTGGGGCCTCAGGGGAGCCTTCCGGGCTGGCTCTGAGATCTGACTGGCCTGGGAGCCGTGAAGAAGGCAGCCTGGTGACCCCAAGCCGCCTGCTTTGCTCACCCGCTGGGCTAGGTCGTCAGGCGCAGGAGCTGTGGGTGGGTGAGGGGCACTCATCCACCCAGGCCATGCGGAGGCCCCTGTGTGGCTCCAGAGGAGAGCAGGACCAGGCATGCTGCCCCCTCGTCCTGGAGAGGGCAGTGTCAGGGCACAGCCCTCGGCCCCTAGGGCACGTGAGCACATGATGGGCCACGAGCAGTGCTGGGATGCCAGCCCGCTCAGGGAAGGGCGCTTGAGCCAGGCTTGGCAGAACTAAAACATCCAAAGTGTGATTTCCAGGCAGGGACAGGACTCGCCCTGGGCTGCAGCTGGCAGGCTGGGCGTGGGGGCCAGTGCCGCAGTCAAGACAGGTGCACCCTGGCTGCTGTGTGCACATCAGGGTGTGGTCGGGAGCAAGGGACAGACCGAGTCCATAAGAGGCAGACCTGGAGTCTCGGCCGAGTGTGGATGGGTCAGCCACCCACGCAGACACGCTAAGAGGCATGTTTGGGGGAACACGTGGCCGTGGCCTTCCACACGCTGGGTCCACACTGCCGGTTCCTGGCGGCGCTGGGCGAGAGGCAGCTGGGACATCAGCAGCGAGCCGGGACCGCATGAGCGAGGCAAAGCGCGTTCCTCGGGGGCCGCTGCACGGTCCAGTGCACACAGGACTGAAAGCCAAGGGCAGCCGTCCCTGGAGGGGCCGTGACCGTGTCCTCACCATGCCACCAGAGGACCATGAGGCAGGGGGAAGCCTCCTTCATCGAGGAGCGTAGGGCTCGCGAGAACCGGCTCAGCCAGCAGAAGAAGCTCATTGACAAGGTCCACACCAAGGAAACCAGCGAGAAGCTTCGCCGGGTGGGTCCCGGCCTGTCGGGGCAAGGGGATGGCTGGGGGACACGGCCAGCTGGGGGATGGACCGGGGAAGCTGGGACAGCCTCTGCCCGGGGCCACTTCCTGAAGACCAGGCTGCTAATCTTGTTTTTCCACTTCCCCCTCAGGGCCAGAGGGACCTGGACTTCCCACCCAACATGATGGCCATGGAGACCCAGAAAGGTGCGACCCAGCCCACCATGGCCACTGCGGGGCCACTGGGCCACAGGCAGGCCACTGCGAGGCCACTGGGCCACAGGCAGGCCACTGCGGGGCCACTGGGCCACACGCAGGCCACTGCGGGGCCACTGGGCCATGGGTGGGCCACTCAAGGCCACTGGACCATGGGTGGCCTGCAGTTGCCAGGGAGACAGAAGAGCTGTTCCTCCTGGGCCTCCTGGCAGAGGCTGGGAAATAAGAGGCCAGCTCTCGGGTCCGAGGCTCCCATGTGGGCAAAAGAGGCTGGCCCCCAGGGCTAAGTCTGGACTTGTGGGCTCTCGCCAGGCTGTCCTGGCCGTAGCTGAAGGGGGTGGGCGAGGAGGATGCCCAGGCCTGCCCCGAGGCAGCTGGACGGCAACCAGCGCAGACTGACCCTCCCTCTGCTCTGCAGTGAGGAGGAAGGAGGCCTCCATTGTGGACATTGAGTACCAGTCGGAGGTGATGGCGCTGGTGGAAAGGGTCAAGTCGGCTGTGCAGTGCTCACACCTCTGGGTACTGCCCCTGGCACCCTGGGCTGCGGCCTCAGGAGCCCCAACTCGCTCCCCACTGCGGGGAGAGGCATGTGTGGGTGGGTGCCCAGGACACAACACAGCCAAGCCCCACTCAGGAGTCACACAGAGCCTGCTAGCCTGCACAGGTCTGCATGCCGAGTGCAGGCCCATCCCAGACGGACAGGGTGGACAGTCCCAGATGGACAGGGTGGATAGTCCCAGGCAGACAAGGTGGACAGTCCCAAACAGACAGGGTGGACAAGCCCCAGACGGACAGGGTGGACAGTCCCAGACGGACAGGGCAGACAGTCCCAGACAGACAGGGTGGACAAGCCCCAGATGGACAGGGTGGACAGTCCCAGGCAGACAGGGTGGACAGCCCCAGGCGGACAGGGTGGACAGTTCCAGGCAGACAGGATGGACAAGCCCCAGACAGGGTGGACAGTCCCAGACGGACAGGGTGGACAGTCCCAGATGGACAATCCCAGGCGGACAGGGTGGACAGTCCCAGGCAGACAGGATGGACAAGCCCCAGACGGACAGGATGGACAAGCCCCAGACGGACAGGGTGGACAGTCCCAGACGGACAGGGTGGACAAGTCTCTCCATTCTTTAGTGTGGTCCTGCCTCAATTTACTGTCCCTCAGCTCAGACTGCCATGCAGGTCCAGATCGCGTCCCTGAGCCAAAGCCCACCGCCTATTGGCCAGCCCATACCTGTCCTCCTCTCCCCTCCCACCCTGCTGGCCAGGACATCGCCGGCCGCTTCCTGTCCCAGAGCAACACGGAGGAGAACCTGCAGCTCCAGATGGCCGACTGTGAGGGGCGGCGGCGGCAGCTGGAGGCCTTGATGATGAAGCTGGAGCTGGAGGAGGCCCTGCTCAAGTTCCACCAGGCGCCTGGCTCTGACAGGTGCACAGGGGCATACCTGTCCAGGCCTGAGCCCCCCGCCCAGGGCACAGCACACGGCCCAGGCCTGAGCCCCCGCCCCAGGGCACAGCACACGGCCCAGGCCTGAGCCCCCCGTGCACAGCCCTGACCTGAGCCCCCCGTGCACAGCCCTGACCTGAGCCCCCAGTGCACAGCCCTGACCTGAGCCCCCAGTGCACAGCCCAGCCTCAGGTCCCTTCTGCTCCCCACTACTGCTCAGCTTCAGGTCCATTGAGAAGCGGCTGAAGGCCACTCTGCAGGCGGAGCAGGAGCGCCTGCAGCTGGCTCACAGCGGCATGACCAGGAGCCAGCAGCTGCTGCTGTCCCTGCAGACGGGCATCGACAACCTGTACCTCCGCCTCACGGGCATCCCCGTGCCCGCTGCCCAGGTGCCCCCGGGGGAAGGAGCTCATGCCACGGCCCCGGGTGAGGCAGGGCACACGGGGTCAGCAAGGGCCCCAGCCGCTTCCTCCCTCCCATCTCCAGCAGGAAGCAGCAGCACCTCCTGACACCCTGGACTTGAATGCCAAGCTGGCATACTGCGAGAAGAAGCTGTTGCATCTGATTCAGCTGGTGGACCAAGTGCAGGCACTGCCCAGGACGGAGGAGGTGGGGGGCGGGTCCCAGGATGGGGGAGGTGGGAGGTGGGGTCCAGGATGGGGGAGGGGGGTCCAGGATGGGGGAGGGAGGAGCGGGGTCCAGGATGGGGGAGGGGTGAGTGGGGCCCAGGATGGGGGAGGTGGGGGAGGTGGGGGAGCCGGGCCCAGGATGGGGGAGGTGGGAGGTGGGGCCCAGGATGGGGGAGGTGGGAGGTGGGGTCCAGGATAGGGGAGGGAGGAGCGGGGTCCAGGATGGGGGAGGGGTGAGTGGGGCCCAGGATGGGGGAGGTGGGGGAGCGGGGCCCAGGACGGGAGGTGGGGAAGTGGGGTCAGAATGGGGGAGGTTGGCATTGTTGTCCAGTGTTGAGGTTTGGGGGTACATGGATGTACCCAGGACTGAGCAGGGGAGCCCGAGTGTTAGAGACTTGGAGGATGGGAGGAGTGGGGGCAGTGTGGGTGTGCCCACCCGAACTGGAGGGGCCTGGACCCTGCAGGTGGACACGCAGGTGAGGGAGGCACTGGAGACGGCCACCTTCAAGGAGAAGCGCAACAGAAGGATCAGCTTTGAGGACACTGAGGAAGACATGATAGGTGCACAGGGGTGGGAGTGGGGCGCCCTTGGTGGGACTGGAGACCCGTCCCTGGGGGGAGATGCCCCGGTGGGACGGGGACCCGCCCTGACAGTCGGGCGCCCGGTGGGACGGGGATCCGGGGACGGGGACCCCGGCCAGCAGTGGGGTGACACCCCGCGCCCCGCAGACACGTTCCAGTTCGCCGACGTGGACCACAGCTACGTGCCGTCGCGGGCCGACATCAAGAAGCAGGCGCAGGGGCTGATCGAAGGGAAGCTCAAGGCGGCCAAGAAGAAGAAGAAGTAGTCTCGCCCTCCCCCGCCCAGCCCGCGCTTTGATACACAAATACACATTTTTGCAGCACTGTCCTCGGCCACCGAGGCCCATTCCAGGATGCAGGGCCAGGGCGGCTGGGGGTGGACACAGGCACCGCGCATGCGCCCTGCCCCCCCCCGCGCGCGCCCGTAGCCAAGATGGCGGCGCCTGCGTGCCCCGCCCCTCGCGGCGCCCCGCCCCGCGCCTGCGTGCCCCGCCCCCGGCCCCTCGCGGCGCCCCGCCCCGCGCCTGCGTGCCCCGCCCCGCGCCTGCGTGCCCCGCCCCCGGCTCGCGCGGCGCCCGTAGCCAAGATGGCGGCGCCTGCGTGTGGCGGGCGGCCGCACCGGGCCCCGCAGTGGCGCGGTAGCCGCTGAGGATCCGCCGTCGGCCCCGGGCCTCGGGCGGGGCTCCGCCGCCGGGACATGGTGCGCGTCCCGTCTCGCCGCCGCTGAGCTCGCGGGCCGCGCAGGCCTGGCCACGCCGCGCGGAAAGATGTTCTCCGCCCTCAGGAAACTCGTGGGGTCCGAGCAGGCCCCGGGCCGGGACAAACACATCCCCGCGGGGCTGCAGTCCATGAACCAGGCGCTGCAGCGGCGCTTCGCCAAGGGGGTGCAGTATAACAGTGAGTGCGCGGCCGGGTTGGGGGTCCGGGTGAGGGGTGGGTGCCCTGGATCGGGGTAAGGGGTCGGGGTGAGCGCCCTGGAACGGGGTAAGGGGTCGGGGTGAGTGCCCCTGGTCATTTAAGTGCCCCAGGGGGGTCGGGGTGAGTGTCCCAGGGGGGTCGGGGTGAGCGCCCGGGATCGCCCGGGGTCGGGATGAGGGGTGCATGAGCACCCCGGGTTGGGGTGAGCATTCTGGGGGCGGTGCTGGTGCGGGGAGCGTGCCTTGTCCTGCACCCCCCCGCAGGCGCAGTGGCCACTGTGCCATGCACCCCGTGTTCCCTCCCTGATAAATTATGTACCTGTGCCCGCTGACCTCTTTTCGGTGTTTCCGATGCCCTCTGCCCCTTGCTGGCCTGCACGTGACGCTGGACCCTCGGGCACTCGTGCGTCCCGGGGCACCAGCTGTTTAGGGTGCACGTGTGTTGGCATCCTGTATGCCTGCACCTCCCTGCCCAGGTGGTGGGAACTATCCCGGTCCTTGGCAGGTGGCCCCTGGAGCCCAAGGGACAGCGAAGGCCAGCGGAGACAGGACTTGCGCCTTGCTGTCTTGGAATGATGGGCAGCTTTGAAACTCTGATCTGTTGATGGGGTGGAAAGTGTGTGTAGGTGAGGGTTTCTTTATTTTCATGTGGAAGGCAGATTTTAGAGAGGGAAGAGAATGCGGAGAGAACTTCATCTGTTGGTTCACTCCCCAGGCATCCGATCTGGAGCCAGGAGCCAGAACTTCTTCCAGGTCTCCCAGGAGGGTGCAGGGGCCCAAGCACACAGGCACATCAGCAGGGAGCTGGTCAGGACTTGAACCGGTGTCCGCATGGGATGCTGGTGCAGCGGCTGGAGGCTTGGCGTGCGGGGCACGACCATCCCCTGAACCTTACGGCAGTGGCGGGGAGGGGGGTGTGCGGAGCACTGGTTGGGCCAACCTTAATGTGATGCCATCCCGGGCGCAGGTGCCATATGGGTAACACCCCAAGTGTGGAGCTGCGTCCTGGGTGGGGTGCCCCTCGTGCCATGTGGACATCTCCTGGTGGGGTAGGGGCTGGTTTCCCCTGACCACTGGCTCAGGGAGGACCCAGCAGAAGGCGGACGGAGGTGTGGCAGTGTCCACCACCACACCACAGGAGCGTGCCTGAAGTGGGGACAGGGCCTCTCTTAGGGAGGTCGTCACCAAACGCTGCCAGGAGCAGCAGTGGGACCTCAAGGGTGCACAGGGTGGGGGAGGCTGCCCTCACTGTCCCTCCCCCACCCAGGGCAATCACGCTTCCTTTTCCACAGTTTGCAAATATTTGTTGAATGTTTGGGCAGAAGCACAGTGAGTGAGGTGACAGCCAGTGTGGGAGCTGGCAGGGCCAAGGGCTTAGGTGCAGGGCGGTGGGGCTGGGGACCCCAGGGCCAAGACCCTTAGGTATGCGAGTTCTGGTGGGGACTGTGGGGGTGCGGGCCCTGCTGGCTGAGCAGCTGCTAAACGCGCCTTCCCCACAGTGACAGCAAAGGTGACCAGCTGAAGGAAAGGAGGGCCTGTCAGCTGGCAGGGACACACAAGGGCTGCGTTCTGACAGCCGGTGCTAGGGGAACAGGCCACAAGCTCAGAGAGAGAGGGTGGTTAGCCAGGGTCTGCCTGGCAGGGACCTGGTGCACACGCAGGGGAGGCAGTGAGCATGGTGAGCCGTATGCAGCTGTACACAGCCCAGCAGCCAGGAGAGCTGGGGGAGAGTTCTGTACCAGGATGCCGGAGCTGTAGCAGCTGGCTTAGCTCTGGGGTGCCCTGGGGCAGCGGGGGGGGGGGGGGGGGGGGGGGGGAGCAGGGCCCTGGGAGTGGGGGTGCCCTGGGGCAGTGGGGGGGGGGCGGGGAGCAGGGCCCTGGGAGTGGGGGGTGCCCTGGGGCAGCGGGGATGCGGGCAGGACCCTGGGAGTGGGGTGCACTGGGGTGGGGGGGGTGCCCTGGGGCAGTGGGGGGGGGCGGGGAGCAGGGCCCTGGGAGTGGGGTGCCTGGGGTGGGGGGGGTGCCCTGGGGCAGCGGGGGGGGGGGAGCGGGAGCAGGGCCCTGGGAGTGGGGTGTGCTGGGGGGGACGGGAGCAGGGCCCTGGGAGTGGGTGTGCTGGGGGGGGCGGGAGCAGGGCCCTGGGAGTGGGGTGTGCTGGGGGGGGGACGGGAGCAGGGCCCTGGGAGTGGGTGGGGTGCCCTGGGGCAGCGGGGATGCGGGCAGGACCCTGGAGTGGGGTGTGCTCCCAGGAGAGAGGTTCCGCACGCCTGTGACGCCTGCAGTTGCCCTGGACAGCCTGGCACAGCCTGTGATAGCGCCCCCCCAGAGCACAGCCTGACTGGGGAGCCGCCTACTCCCAGGCAGGAGGCAGCATCGGAGGGATGCAGCATCCCGGCTGCCCCAGGGCTTGGGGGGCAGGCTCAGTGCGCAGCGCCTGGCAGGTGGGGGTGAGCTCTGCAGAGGTTCAAGGGGTGAACCCCAAGACAGGTTCTGTTTTCCCCCACTTGAATAGTTCCAGCAGGAAATGCTTGCACTGGGACCAGCAAGCTAGAACAGAATTCATCAGCTCGGTATAGGGACACGTTTGTCGGTTGCAACAAACCCCAAGCCTGTCTGGTGAGGGCCGCGGGGAAAATGGGGTGCAGGGGCGTGGGCTGCCGCTGGGCAGCAGAGGAACAGCAGCCCTGGCCGGCAGTGAGCATTTGCTGGGTGGGCGTGTAGGGTGCCCCCCGGAGTGTTGGCACCAGCCGGTGTCCCAGTCCCTGGTGAGACTGACGGATCCGAGCGGACAGGGTGGGCCTTGCTGGAAGCAGAGAATGCTTGGAGGGTATGGCCGAGGACTGTGGGGCCACGGGGGCTCACTGCCCGTGAGCATTCACAGAGCGGCCAGTGTCCCTCCACCGGGAGAGGGTGGCAGAGGCCGCCTTGGCACCGGGCAGCCCAGACATGGTCCCTGACATAGGTGGGCTGTCATGTGCCACAAGTGCAGGACAATTGCCCACTCAGCTCTGGGGACAGTTTGACAGCTCAGCTGGCTGAAAACCCCCACCTCCAAATGGACATCGGTTCTGCTCCCTGCTGTGGCCTGGGAAAGCAGTGGAGGACGGCCCAGGGCCTTGGGACCTGCACCCGCGTGGGAGACCCGGAAGAGCTCCTGCTGTGGATTGCTCGGCTCTGACAGTTGCAGCATTTGCTAAGCAAACCTGCAGGTGGAAGCTCTTTTCTTTCTGTAAATCTGCCTTTCCAATAAAAATCTTTTAAAAAAAGAAAAACATGTTTACAGTTCTAGAACTAGAAGCTGCACATTTGCAGCGTGGGAGGGCCCAGCCAATGGGGAGGAAGGGTCCCCTGGCTCCGGCTGCCCCCCAACATGCTGTCCAGGCAGTACTGACAGGAGCCCCTGTTGGAGGGCAGCGGACAAGGGTGGGGCAGGAGAGCTGTCCCAGAAGTGACCAGCTCCTCACCATGTGCTGGCCCTCCCTGCTCCAGCACCCAGCTCCCCGCAAATGGCATGGACGGTGGAGTGGGGCTCATTCTAGGTGTCCCCCATGGGGACCTGGATGGGAAGTAAAGCTGCCGTCTGCCGCCGCGGTCCCGGGTGCATCAGCAGGGACCGGGACTTGAACCAGTGCTTGTATGGGATGTTTCTAAACTGCCTTGGAGCAAGGCTGGCTGGCGGTGGATGCACAGGACGCGGGCAGAAAGGCCGGGTGCAACCTTGCTCCCGGGGAAGAGAATGAAGGGGCAGTGGCCGCCTGGGCAGCCCTGGGCCCCTGTGATGGACACGGTGTAGAATTGCTAACCTGTGGCTGGCGTCACTGTATGGTGCCAGTTCTAACCCCGGTGCTCCACTTCTGATCAGACTTCTGGGAGAGACGGTAGACAAGCTCCCTGGGTGTAGACGATCCAGATCCCACGTCCCAGCTGCTCCACTTCCCATCCAGCTCCTGCTGATACGCCGGAACAAGCGGGGGTGGCCCAAGCGCGGGAGCCCCTGCACATTCGCGGGCGACCGGAAGAAAGGAGTGGACCTGCAGGTGGCAGGGTCCTCTGTTGTCTTGCCTTTTCTGTATAGCTGCTTTTCTGCCTTCCTCATAAAAACAAATACGTCTTTTTTTCCCCAAGATTTATTAGTTTATTATTATTGGAAAGGCAGATTTACAGAGAAAGATTTCCATGTGCTGGTTCACTCCTGAAGTAGCCACAATAGCCGGAGCTGAGCCAGCCAGGAGCCAGGAGCCTTTGCTGGGTCTCCCACGTGGGTGTGTATTCCCAAGGCTAGTAGCAAGGCGAGGATTTAGACACTGAGCCATTGCGCCGGGACCAATAAATAAATCTATAAACAAACA